CTTGGCTATTAACGTAGCTGAGGAACGCCTGTGTAAACATTCGTGTTTCTCCCCTCCACTTCGTATAATAGCGACTGGTATCGCCTTTCCTCCTCGACCTCGCTATCTGAAACCAATTACAGCTGATCCGTTTGGGCCGAATCGTATTTTCATAAGGATTGCGAAGCCCTCGCAATAATGTTTATGCGTGTGTCTTCCATGTGCTCTTCATTGTACTGAATGTGCAAGTTTGTTTCTTTCTGTTCTCCCTCCCCAGTCCTTAGAGATAGATATCAACATCAAATATGTTCCTGAGTGCCTTGTTATTTACGCTCCAGCCTAGGTTCTCCTTGAGCTCCTAGCTCTGTGGAATGTGATGCATTGTGCTGTTTATACAATGTGTGCATTAATGGATGGCAGCCTGCATTTCTTCTGCACAGCAACAAAACTTATAGGATGAAGAAAAGCAAAGCAAAGCAAGCAGCTTTCAGACGTCCAGCAAAACTTCAGTGGTTTCTTTGCTTTTGTTGAATCTGGAAAGCACCTAATATGTTTTTGTTGCATTCTTGCGTGTGTGTTTTTTTCCGCACAGAGGCGAATATAAGTAATGTAGTCCGGTGTTGTCACTAATAAGGAATGTTTTTGCACTATTACAGGGCAAGGGCAGACAAAAATTTCAAGGAATAGTTCAGCCAAAAAGTGAAAGTTCTGTCATCATTTACTCACCCTCACCCATTATTTCGAACTTTCTTCGTATTCGTAGAACATTAAAGGATCATTTTTTTCCTGGTCTGTCTTCCATGTAATGAACGTGAATGAGGACTGAGACTCTAGAATGAAAAAACGTACCATCTTTTTTTTAGTCTTCTGCAGTCAGAAGTAAAATCGAATTGGTTATTCAACTTGCGGACTGTTCACCATTGTGTTCGGATCATAAGAACCAAATTCATTATTTAAACTAGTTTTGATGAACAGATTCAATTAATCTTATTTGGTTGTTCATGAATTGGCCTTTATTTACACAAAGTCTGTCACAAAAGAATAACAAACGAATCCGATTCATTGATGAAATCAGTCTAAAGTCAGACTTATCCGGTTTTGGAATTCATTTTTGACATTCTTGATAGGGCTGTCAAACGATTAATCGCGATTAATCGCATCCAAAATAAAAGTTTGTGTTTACATAATATATGTGGGTGCACTGTGTATAATTATTTTATAGATATAAATACACACACATGCTTGTATATATTTAAGAAATATTTTCATGTATATACTGTATATAGATTTATATATAATTTATATTATATATAAATATAAAAATTGTATATATAAATACAATTTTTTAAAATATAAATATTAATAAATTAATCATATTTAAAATATATTTAAATATTAAATATACATGCATGTGTGTGTATTTAGTATATATTTATAACAAAATGATTATTTATAACAAAATAATTATACATATATTACATATATATATATATATATATATATATGACATATATTATTTTGGATGCGATTAATCGTTTGACAACCCTAATTCTTGACATTACCACTTCTAATTGACCTTAATTATATTGGGTCCCAGGATTTTGTGAATGTCAAATGGGTTTGGACTGAGTAAATAATGTCATAATTTAAATTTTTGAGTGAGCTATCCCTTTAACAGTTCAAAACAAGTGTCCCTCTAATATGCAAAGTGAACTTGATTGCATTCCCCCCACCTTCCCAGCGCTCATGTTCATATCGGAAAAGCCATTAAACGTCTCGATCCGTGTGCTGTGGGAAGCGCCACTCTCCTGACCTCTACCTTGTATTGAATGACTTCTTTGACTTTGTCCTTTAATTCATCAGAGGACAGTGAGTCTGTATTGATCGGAGCACGGATAAACATTTCCTCCTGTTAATTGTTGTGCTTAAAGCCATTAACCGACCACTAAAGCCACACAATCACAGTCACCGCTTGGATGGGCGTGAAATCTCCCGCAATTTACAATCTCATCCACGCGGCCCAACTGATAATGACTTGGCGAGGGTACTTATAACTCACTCGTGCATCTGAAAGCGCCATGACTAATCGATAAATGCATCGTTTAGAATGGAAAAATAAGGCACAATGAAGTACGGAAACTTGCTTGTTGCAAACTTCCCAACTTCAGATGTTACTTGATTAGTTCAGAGAACCTAAAACCTTGAGGGTTTTTTTCCCAAAACGTATCCAGTTAAACTAGTAGCCTGTCCCACATTCAAAGCTCAAGACTCTGGTTGTCATCTGGTTGCATTTGTTGTTGTCTGTTTGGTTCCTTCAAAGACAGAACAGGACAGGGATCTGATCTGAAGTAGTCCAGCTCCTCTCCACATCCTGGTGTCCCCTGAAGTATCAGACAACGGCTGTGAGTGTGTGTGCATCAGAGGAGACAGATCGATGCTGTTAGGACCCAGCGCCACTGTGTTGTGTTTGTTTACCAGGAGCTCGGAGAGCCTGGCTCCTCACCGCACAGCCAGACAGACAGTGGCAGCTCCTCGCCCTGTCTCTTCATAATTGATCAGGGGGATGGCTGTCTTCCCAGCGGGTTAAGACGTGGCAACTTTTCCCCCTATCTCTCTCTCTCTCTTCCTTTCTCCCTCACCTCTCTCGCTCCCCTGTTTGCTCAGCATCTCAATGTACTAGTTCAAACATTGTTCTCACCAGCTGGCAGAGAAGTGCCATATGCACATCCTGTCAAGGCAGCTGTTGTCATGGATACTGGCAAGCACCAGGAAATAAAGCAAGCCCTTGATTCTGCTGGAAGAAGTGTCACTCTTTATCTGTTTTTTCTTCATCGCACCCCTCGACCTTCGCTCTCCTCTTTCCAGACAGATGAAACACCTGTGAAGTTATTGTGTTGTTTGTATTGCTTTATTTATTTTGTTGCTTTCTCCTCGTACCGGGGCACTGAGGCCATCTGCAAGTGTGTTCACATAGCCGTTGTTCAACTCCAGGAAGTCTAGAAAGAGTTGCTTACCCTTGAGCGAGTGTATCAGTATTCTTGTAGATACATGAGGAACATCATTTCAACCTACCTGACATCACATACTACCGTAACATGCATTTCAAAAGATGTTCACATTTTCGGAGGAAAAATGGTTGCCCGTGTAAAAGTTGCTAGGGTGTTGAGGGTGATTGCTGGGGTATGTGGGGGTTCATTGCTGAGGTGAAATGTGATGATGTGGATGGCTAGGACATTTCAAGTGGTTGCTAGGGTGTTCTGGGTAAGCAACCTAACTGGTCCAAGTCAAAAGAGTCCTGAGTAGGGACTATGTATTATTTTTTTGTACCCATTTTTCATCTACATGCCGTAAATCCACGGATCTATATAAATGACTGGATTTCTCATGATGTCATGACAAGAATGTATTCCCTCACATTCTTTTGAATTAATAGGAAATCATCTGATTTTAATGAAAAAACATTACTTAACGAGTCAGCGTTTTTACAAGTCTCCCTGTACATCCTAAACATTTTAATGGTTATTGGTTTAAAGTCTGCTTATTAAAAGATACGTTCATCTTCATTTGTGATTATTTGATCAGCCAACGAATGAGACACCTCAGTATTTATATTACAAATGATTCAATGATTTTACAATACAGATTAATGCATTGTAAGCCATTTGAGCTGACTTGTGGCTTGGTCAACAACAAAAAAAAAAAAGTGGATGTTGGTCAACAAAAAGACATCAGAAAATAGTGTCCTACATGCTTTACAACTTAGTCAGAGAAATTACACTGGCTGCGTATGGATTAAAAGACATGAAACCTTTATTTCCAAGTATTTATACTGTCGCTCCAAGCAAGATGATTACATTTTTAATATACTGTAGTCTAGTGCAATAGAAATAGGGGATTGTATGTATTGTAATATTTAATGTATATTAAAATAAATGTCTGCTAATAATCCCAGAAATATGTTCATGCTTAATATTTCCTGCATAGATGCGTACCTAAAAAATCAATTTTGTGTTAGTTCAGTTCCCCGTTTCGGCAGTTTGCAGTAGCCTTGACACACCCATCTTAACGATTTCGAAAAGACCATAAATATTATAGATAACATTCAAAGTATCAATGTACATACATACGTTTATGTCTCAAAAACTATTCGCGTGCGAATGATACGCTGATTTTAGGTCAATATTTTGGATGAAACTCATTGTTGCCCTTTGTCGATAGAGAATACCAATATGGCCGATCGAACACTTCCCTGCTGGCAGTTTAAAAACACAACGAGCAATTCAGGCATTTATATAGATCAGTGCGTAAGTCATTAGTTTGGTCCCTTGGAAAGAAAAGTAATAGCACAATTCGAGCTGTCATTCATGTCTGTAGCACAAACTGTGCGTCCCAAAGTTGAATACTTAATGGTTAAAATATTTGAACAAAGCCTTAACACAAAATATGAACAATAGGGATGCTTGCCTTAGCAACCCAGTGTTATTGTATTGTTATATGACATTGGATAAGTAGGTATTCCAAGTGATTTGGCAGAGAGGGGCCGGCGTCACCCCCGTGCTCAGGGGCCCTGCTAATGCTCAGCTCCTTGTTAATTCACTCCTGAGGTAATCTGATGTTGATTTTGTCAACTTTAATTACAGCTTCTAGGAACACTTCACATCGCCTGCCTCTACTTCAAATTGATATTATGAATATGCAAATGGGACGGTAATTTGCAGAGAAGTGGGTATTTCAGCTGAGCACACACTAGACGGGTCAATACCACTGACACTCTCTGTGTGTTTTTTCCCCTCGTGCTCTTCATAGGTGCTAGACAAACTGTATTTATCTTTCATCACGCCTTTGTGGACTATCATGAAAAATGTATATCTTAGAGATGCTTCATAGCTCATCAACAACAATGACGAGTGTAGCGGATGGTATGTGCGGGGTTGATATTTGAGTGTGCCGGAGTTGAAGTGGAGGAAAAAGGTTGGGGGGGTAAAAACTAATTTTTCGTTTCTCTTCTCATTTCTTTGCAGGCCCTACAAGCAGCGAGGCAATTACTCCTACAGCAACCAGGCAGTGGCCTGAAATCTCCAAAGAACAACGACAAACAGCGTCCGTTGCAGGTGAGCAGTTCCTCGCTAATCTCTTAAGTCCATCCATAATACATGGCGCTCTGGAAAAGATTTCCTCTGTTCCAGCTACTCTGTTTGATTTGGCGATGTAATTCTGCAGCTGTCAGTAAAATTTCAACCTGTCAGACCTTCCCTGCTCCAAAAGAAACCACACAAAATACCTCACACCTGAAACCTTTTTGTTGTCTACAGCTACTTCATCTCACCATCACTGTTGGGCAACCTTGAAATCACACTGTGACAAAAGATTTTGATGAGAATATTCAGGTTCAAGACAGCATTTGTGGCATAACATTGATTACCACAAAACATCTTTAAAAAAAGCAAATATCAAAGTTACAGTGAGGCATTTACTATAGAAGTTTCATTTAATAAAAGCGCTTAACTTGCATTTTAAATCATTTTAGACTAGTAAAATTGGGTGCAACTACACAGAAATGTGTAATCTCACATATTGTTCTCCTCTTGAGGCCATACTATTATTTAAACAGTGAGTATTTCAACGTTTGTGGATTGACCCCATTCACTTCCATTGTACATTAAGTGCAAGTTCAACTCTGTAGCTTCCTGTAGCATTGCATATCCTAAGTAGCTGTCATTTGTACCCCTCCAAGATAATTTGCCATTATTGATTCCAGCTGTGCCGCATCGCTATTGTCAGTGATTTGGTAAAGGTCACAGCAACATCGCGCACGTCGCATCCCCTATTACCAGACCTGTTTACTTACTCGCTGACTGCCGATGTGTTATTTCTCTCACATCCCCACAATACAAATGCGCCGCCTCGAATTATGTAAGCGCTTGACATCTGCCAGGCTTCGTATTTTTAGGTTTAAATTAAGTGCGAGAGAGAGCTTGCCCTCCTCCCTGCTAATAAGCGCTATCAGTGGTGGTTTACCTCATTAGTACCCTGGGCATTTAATTAAAGGAAGGGAAAATGGGCGCTAACCCTCATCGTTAATATTTTCACAGCGTATAACGATGGCGACACCTTCTCCAAGCGTATGTGTATCTAGTTATGCGTAAGTTAAAGTTTTGGTGCCTTTCGCTTTTAATATATTCAGGCCGTTCCATGCAAATATGAGTTTTGCATTTCGGAAATCAACGTTTTTCTTTGTGTTTTATTATTTTTCCCCTTCTGTGCAAAGATGTTAGTTGTAAAACAAAGCCTAGGTGGATGCGCTTTCGTGTATCTATTGTAGTTTCGCCGCCGTCTGTATACTCAGAGAATGGATTCCCGGCACACAGCGTGACTGCAAATTGCCGTGCGATACTTCCAGAGGAAGCCGAGTGATATTGGATGAGGAAGGTCTGTGATAACTGGTGGCCCATGACCGAGCCCCTGACTCTAATAACACCAGAGGATGGTAAATATTGAATATTTACATTTGCTTATGCCATCCTTGCCTCATGTTAGCCATATGAATCAATATGAATCAGGGCTTGTTCAGTGCCGTCTTCCGGGTGTAGTTAATCAATGCTGTCGATCCTTTACTTTATTAACTTATTCAGAGCTGTTTTCATCAACAGCATGTTGATTACCACAAAAAATAATTTAGACTCCTTTTCTTTGAAAAAAAAAATCAAGGTTAAGTCGAGGTGTGTACAATAGAAGTCAACAGGGCCAATTTTTTAAAGCATTTAAAAGCAGAAATATGCATTGACATTAATTCGTCTGTATTATTTGAGCCATAAAGTTGTTTAAATCATCATTTTTACAGTCATTTTAGGGTGGAGTTACACTGTCATAGCAACAAAGCTGTAAAATTGATGGACGTTTAAACCGGTTAGAAAGCTATTTTTCACATTAATATAATGTTAACATGTTTTTCACGTCTTCAACTGCACTATTTAAACATTGACTGATTGGATACTAGCTTTTTTCTAAAGAAAAAGAGTGATCACACCGAAATTTTCATATGCGTTTTGTCGTATTCGTGATTGGGTGGCTCTGAATTGTCAAAACACCATTCAAACTGCTTGCTACGGATGCGAAAAACGCAGAAAATCAAACCCGATCCCTTTCGGAGGCAGTGTGCAAGCGTGATTGACATAACGTGAGGTCATATTTATTTTTTAACGTGTGAAAATTTCGGATGTGAATTTCGGACTCGGTGACCAAGGGCCTTAAATTAAGTTTAATGGTAATCTACATTACGCCACAAATGCTGTCGACCTTGTACTAAACATGGAATATACCTTCAAATATCTCCTCTATACACTTGCGGTAAATCGATTCAGATTGTGTTGCGTGTGCTTAGACATGCCACGTAACAAGCATTTTGAAGAATGACTTATTGACATTAAAAAGTAAACGCCTGCTCGTTTCCCTGACACTGATGAATCCGCCCCTTTCCCTGTCCAGGAAAGGCAGGGAAAGTGATCCATAGATCATGGCGTATAAATTATTTACCGCACGAGCATCTAAGTGCTGGAGCTCACGGTTTTAATTACTTGTATTAGTGTCTAAAGCCTGTCAGCTGACTAATTCTATCCAGCGTCTCATCTCGCGCTTTTGATGCGCTCAGAAGCCGCTTTTCCACATTTGCGTAATGTGACAGGTCTATTATTACTCCGTAAGCCAGAGGAGAAGTCAATAAACACCTATTTCTTCCCCGTAAATCCGTGTGCCTTCTTCATGCTGCTTACAAGGATTTCCCAAGGCACACAACAGTCCTCTCCCTCCGAGTGGCAATATCTCCTGTGCGTTTTATACACTGACATTTAAAACACAAATAAAAAGCGGGAGGACGAAAGGGAAGGGGGATTACAGAAAGCTTACGCGACTGGCAATTGTGTCTCCTGCCCTACCAATCAGCCCAGCTGCCATTCTCCAACTATAAGCTACATGCCGGTTTGTTTGTTTGGCTTCATGTGCCGCCCAGGCGTCTAGTCCTGATGGCAGAATGGGCATTTAACAGTGTGAAAACACATGTTAGCGATACTGAACACTGACGAAACAGCGGTAAGAAGCTGAGCAACCAGAGGCATGTAGGCGTGACATCGGGCTGTTGTGATGACTTATTACAGCCATCTAGGTGTCAGAAACGTGTTTAAAGAGGTAGAGTTGACCTCCTACCTATTAGCAGAGTGATACACCAGCATTAACAAGGTGAACCAACCAAACAAACCAATTTCAGCTATGGCACTCTCTGTTTCTGTCACGTTTGCCTCCACGACAGAAACAGGCGGCCAATATGTTGACCTTTTTGTTCATTTTAAACCCAGCACGCTCTGCTAATGTAACTTTTTCGCAACCATACATCCTTCCGGAGGCTTCGTCAATCCCGCGTTTGGGAAGGAAGGCTGAGCGGCTCGTTGCTCGCGCGCATTCCAAGACTAGAGAGAAGCGTGCGATAGCTCAACCCAATCACTTCCTGAGCAGTGAGCCATCCTCTGAGTGTCGCCGATTTAAAGGTCAGCGACGCACAGCTCATCTGAGCGTCCGACTCCTGCGCCATGTTCCTTAAAATTCATCTACTCAGACCGTCAACTGGAACCGTGCACAAAGCCAGCGGAATTTATAAAAAGTGGACTCATATTAACATTGATTATTAACAGCGTTCACCCAACAGTACAGAGAATTTGGAATGCCTTTTAAATTCCAGTTCAGTTGCGGAATTGGAATTGAAGTGGCAAGTAATGCAGAACTGCAGTTTGAATTTGAATTTAAAAGTAGAATTCGAATACTTTGAAATTGAAGTTTTCCTGACTTTGCAAAGTTTGGCAAGAAAAACTTTGAATGTTGACTTGACGGTCTTGTTTGAAAGTGTTGAAATTTGAAGGTTTATGAGGTAGAAATTTCCTGTGCAGTCCAAATCAACTTCCTAAGTGTGGCCAATACATAAACTGAAGGAACATAAACAACAAACTAAATAACTTTGGCTGCTCCAAAACAAAAGAGGGAGGGAAAAAAGCATTTGCAGTTTTCAGATTTTTGGAAACTAGGGAACCATCCTTCATTTCTAGTGGACAGCATGTGTAAATTGCAAGGGATTTGGTTTGCAGGGACTCACATTGAGTTGCAAAGGAAGTTGAAGCATAACCCTTAGGCAAGAACCAGTGGAACGGTGGGAGTGAGGGGAAAAATAGTGCCATGGCACAGCTTTGATGTAGAAGCAACAACTGTACCTTCTGACAGAAGATGCATGAGAGTAATAAACCAGTTCCAGCAGCCCTTACACATGCAGTCTGATTACTCTGGCCAGGGTGTTAATTGGATCCTAACTGGCAGATCTGATACGTGTAGCCCAGTGGTGGGAAGTCTTTCCAAGTGATGAACTATAATTCACCGAGCTGCTTGAAGCTTGTGTAATTTACTGTGTGTCACTTGACGAGGAGAGCGATCCAACAGACTCCCTATTACCTGCGACATCACAAAGCTTTCAAGAGAGAGAAGAGGAGGGGGGCTGATACAGAGTGAGCTAGAGAGACAGATTTCCCTGTAAATGCCAGGCAATGCTCTCTTTCAGATATGGTGAGAAACAAATTAGAGGAAAACTAAGTCATGTAGACTTAATTCTTATCTCACAAACTCCTGAAGATCACATTTGGTTGGTTTACTTTTTTTTTTTTTTTGCCATGAGGCAGAAGGGTACTAAGGTCCGCAGGTCTCTTTAATTCCTCTCATAGCTCCCTTTGAAAACTATTTGATGCTCTCTTCATTGACAGAAATGAAAGTGTGGTTATCTATATGGTGAATGGTTGATTGTATGAACTGAGGCCACATCCACTCTATCATCATTTGAAGTGCATTAAACTTCCCATACTGTTTTGCTGAACTGTAAAATAAATTGATTTGGGAAAACGCTCCTTTAATCAACTTAACTCCGATCTCAAGGAGCGTTCGCATTGATCTTCTAATCGAAACGATGCATGTTAGCGAGTTTCAGGTTTAGATTAGTGTGACTCTGTTTGTTTATGTTGTCAATGGCTCTTGAATCCGTGTGTGTGTATTTGGTCCCCTAGTAAAACAACTCCATCAAAAAAAAGCCCTTGACTGTGGAGCTATAAATTATTGACGGAATAAACAATGCTATCTTTACCAAAGTTACCAAAGAGATTAATTAGTGGGACAGTGAGCATAATCATCTGTTTTTCCAAACTCTCACTTTTTCCAACTTAAACAGGTTTTTACCATTTAATTAACATGCTTTTGCTTTCTGCTAAAGTAATTGCCACCACACGCCCCAGATTCTCATTTTATTTCTCTGAACAGTATCTCTGGCAAGTGGTTCAGCACACATCTGATCTGGAAACGTCCCTTATCGAGCCAAACAATACTGCAATCCCATCACTTTCGACTAGGCGTTTTAGCTAGTTTGCTCTTATATTAATTATGGTTATTCACCAGTGTTTTCTCATATGTTGTTTTGGAATACACCAATGGGACATTTGATGTCTTTTAAGGTAATGCAGGAAGGCGTAAGTCTTGCGTTTCGTCGTTCTTATGATGTGGAGTTGACATTTCTCATGTCAAGATCTGTTTCAATATAGCGAGAGCCCTGTAATGATCTGCTCGTTCTTCAGGAGGGCCACTGATGTTTTCTCATCACTGACCAATTTAAAGCTATTTGTTCTCTCAGGTGCTGCGCTTCGTGGATCTAACGTACAGGTCAATGGAGATCAGCTTTTTTAGTAGTTTTCCAATAGAAATCAAAGCCTCACGGATCGTCATTTTTGGACGTGCTTGCTGTGAGAAAAAGAGATCAGTTGTTGGTCTTTAAGTAAATTTTCTCACAGCACGAGTGCTTCAAGTGCAGATGATTGAAGTTGATGCTTTGCTTTGCGAAGATTGCCATTATCTGTGAAGTTTTCTAGCACTCGTTGGGTTGCATCATTGCCTCTAGCAGTCATATTCTCCATTTTGCATCCCTGCAAGGGAAAAGACCCATTGTCTGCGACTGTTTACGGCTCGATCCTTTGGCAAACGCTCATTAATTATGCCCCGTCTTGGTGAAATCATTTCTGGGAGAAGCAATTCAGCCTCTGTTCCTTTCAATTCACCCGGCTTGTCAATCATCGCCCCCCGCAGTATCCCACGGAATGGAGGTGTTATATTCCGCCAATTATCATGTCATATACTCGAAAATGTAAATGAACGTGTGTGTAAAATTAAATTTATGGGTTGTCAGTGAAGAATAAGAACCAGGAGAGCAATTACTTATCTGCTTTCATCTTTCAAGCTCTGATATATCATGCAGAAAACGCCGGCGTTAAATGCTGGAATTAGCATTGTGCGCGACTCGGAAGTGAGTGGGCCGAAACTTCAACTTTGTCTCGTCTTGAAATGAAATGAAGATGTGTATCATCTGTCGATCTGATCTACTAAAAAGCTAATGAGAGGCTGAGGCCCATATCCTGATTTCATTTTATTTCTCGAGGCTAAAATGCAACTTCGGATCACACGCAGTCGGTTGTAGTCGATAAATAAACGTCGTGAATTGTTCTGAAATGTACATGTTTATTGTATTCGCAGCGCTGCGGTGCAAATGAGGTGATCGTTGGTGATTCAGTCCAAAGCTCATTTAAATATACAAATAATGGGTGTAATGAGAACATCTCTTCTTGTATTTTCATGCTTTGGTCTTTATATTGTCATTTAGGCCGGCGCAGAACCCTGGCTGAACCTGGGGGTAATTACACATCACAAATGTGTCTTAAGGTTTAATAACATTGAAGGTGTAAGCATACATTTGCATAATTACATGCAGCTGTTTAATTTGTGACTTTGTTGCTCTGTTCCTTTGTTTTTTTTTTTTCTTCTTCCGCCACCCCCTCCCTCGTCACACCTTTTCTCCCCAAAGAGAGACGGACTGAAAGAAAGAAAGAAAGAAAGTGTATTTGTGTGTGCGCTTCCCTCCGTGGTGGTGCTCATTGAGTTTTGGGGCCAGTCTAATGAAGAATGGTGCTTGGATTTGTTTGAATATGAATATGAGTGGGGATGGAGTGTGACCTTCAGCTCCACTACTCAGTTCATCAGGATTAGTCAAGCCCGGCGCTCAGGAGCGCTAATGCATAATGACTTCTAAAATGAAAAATGTGTAGTGACCATGCAAATGTCTCTGCTAATCAAAGAGGGGAACCTGAGCTGGGCCGAGCCAGGAGACTGAAACAAGGACGTGTCAAGGCCCTGAGAGCTCAGACGTACGGAAAGCAATCAAGCGGCCTTGATTAGCAGGCGCGAGGAGCGGCTCGGACTCCTCACGACGTCTAATGGAGCCTCACATCTTTTTCTCAAGCTCAAAAACCACAACAATAGAGATGTTTACCCGTCATGACGCCCAAAGGCTCGGCTGTCTTGATGATAGACAGCATCTGTCGAAGCTGCTCTGTTGGACGATGCAACACACAGCATGCTTCATAATATACAAGACAGGTGCAAGAAAAAAAGGAGAGGGCAATTGTTCTTAAAAAGCATTTGTCTGGCAATTGTTTTTGTTCAGTTTTAGATACAAGCGCAGAAATGAGTCACGTTAATGTAAATGTTACGTGTTTCCTGCTCACTTCATGCGAAAATCTTTGTTTTGTTTTTAGCCCAAAAAGTTCTCTCACAGGCTTTGACAGCTGGCATTTTAATGATTCTTATCATTTAAAAAAATGACATGAATTTTTAAAAATGACATCTTGTGAAAGACTTGTGCCTCTGGCTGCTTTCTTCCAAGCGTGCAACTTGGAAACTTCAATGCGCAGCGAGAGACAACTGGTAATTCCCCTCACCTCTGTAAAACAGAATACTTCACCGCGGCTCAGCTTCAATCAGGAGTTTCTTGCAGACTTTTCAAAGCTTCAAACCCACGGCAGCCTGAATGCGTGCTACTTAGCTTAGTCGCTCATCAACGGGCCATGTGTCCGCTTTCGACCAACAGTCGGCTCTGGATGTGTGTCTTTCTGTGTTGTAGCGCTAGAACTCGCCTGAGAGAGTTGAAGGGTTCAGCTAATTAAGGTCCTCCTCTATTTAAAGCACAGTGCTTTTCCCACTGGGAGTAGCTGACAGAGTAAGAAAGTACACATGCATCTGCCAAATGATTACATATACTGCACTCGCACCATTTTCCAGAGAGTTCGAGAAAAAGCTCTTGACTTTACAGTTGAAGAGTTTTTATGTGACGTGGTTAATGTGACTTTCTCGGCATCTCTCTCTCTCTTAGGTGCCAGTATCTGTGGCAATGATGAGTCCACAGGTGATCACACCCCAACAGATGCAGCAGATCCTTCAACAGCAGGTCCTGTCCCCCCAGCAACTCCAAGCCCTCCTACAACAACAACAGGCAGTCATGCTTCAGCAGGTGAACACGCGTAAACACCCATACGCACTCATGTTTTGAAATGGTAGCATCCTCTCTTGCGCTCATCTGTCCTTGACATAGTTAGATCAGAGAAACAAATATGGACCAGCGTGTAATTAGTTGTTGTCAGTGGGGACGTCTTTTGGGGACAAATGGAGCACAGAAACAAGAGTTAGCTGTATGTGAACTTGAATGGTTTGAACAACACAAGCATTTTCACATGTTGTTTGGTTTCTTAATGTCTCAGCATAATTAGCATTGCGAGACGCGTGGCATTGGCTACTATAATGATCATTAGAGTAAACTAGCATGGTCTTCTTCTGCAGGTTTTTACTTTACCATAATGAAGCCGCATATTGAAGACAGTCTTAGTCTTGCTGAGCGAGTTACAGTTAGTTAAACTGTCAACATGTTAGGTAAAGTAGTTACAGTAGACATTTGAACTCTATCTTTGCCTTGTATCTCTCTCTCTATCTACCAAGGGTCTTTTTTGACTTAAAGGAGCAGCGATCCCTGCTGGGAAACAACTGTCTTACCAGGCTAGTTATAGACAAGCTCAGCCAAACTAGCTAAAAACCAGTTTGGCTTGACTGAGAGGCTATCTTTAACCAGCTAGCAAACCATTTTTAGGCAGTGGAAGTACAGTAAGGACATGAAATAATGAGGAAAAAGGGGAGTTTAGAACAAAAACCGACTCAAAATTGCATTGTCCACATGAGCGCCATTTTGTGTCGTAGCGAACAACTACGCCACATCTCTGAGAAGAGTAGATTATATCTTCAGAAGTGATTTTAAAAGTGAGCTCTTCATTAAAAACATCTCCATTAACTCAGTTAGCCTTGATTATAATTAGGTCTGTATAAACGGTGACAAGTGTACTGAAGACGTCTCCCGCTGAACGAGATGGGAGAGCTCGGCTCCTGTGTTCTGACGATGAGGACCGCACTCTGAGAAGAAGAGGAGAAGTGTGCTAAATGCATTAATTCACAATGATGAATCCTCTCCTTTGAGTGCTTCACATTCATTTTAGAATTTCACTGCCTGTCAAGGCATCTGAGAGGAAAAAAATATATAGCCAGTAAGATTAATTGTTACTCTAGCGGTAATGTGCAGCCGCATAAAAGTCCGTATGGAGATGCATGATGAGGGGAAGTGCTGGTCTCTTTGTCTCGACCAGAGAGACGTTATTTATGGTGTGACGTGCAGAAGCACATCCAGGCATGTTGTGCAGCCTCGGGAGCCTGGAGTTGGCTACCAATCGGTTTGTCTTGTTGTAGCTCTGCTTTGAGGTATGGCCACTCTTATGTGGGAGAAGGGAAATAAGTAGTAGATACATTTTACAACAGCTGCTTTGTTTTGTCACAGATGTCGCTCCTTGTATAGCAGTTAGTGCAAGCACTCCTGTGATGAACTTTATGGAAAAGGGGAATAAATTGATAAATAGATGCGATTTTCAAGCCATATGCAACAACTCCTTCTTTTGTCACAACTAGCCTAGGGTTTGGAGCATTTGCTATATAAACCGCATTTGTTCCAAGCAGACGTCCTTCTTGGGCAAAAGGAAATCAGTAGAAAATGTCGCATGAAATATTTTAATCCAAATGTAGCTTAGCGGTTAGCACATTTGCTGTAAGCATATGTTCTTTTTGTATAGTTTGTTTTTTTCATGTCTTTCCACAGCAACACCTGCAGGAGTTTTATAAGAAACAACAGGAACAACTCCATCTACAGCTTTTACAGCAACAGCACCCTGGCAAACAAGTGAAAGAGGTACAAATCACACACCAATAAACATATGCATGATGCAAAGTAAAGGTTTCCTCCACGTTCGTCAACCACAAATAAATCAGTCTTTGCTGCCATCGCCATTGGAGAGAACGCCCTCTTCTGCATGCTTCCGAATTAGGCAGACAATGTTGTCAGGTGATCTCAACTCAATGCTGGCGCAGAAACGGCTGTTTTAGTGTACCACACGGGGTCTGTTCGTTAATGAACCACCGCGGCGAGTTTGGGCCGACGAGCAGAAAAGTTCGACCGCAGCGAGCTCATAAATCAAACTGACAGTCAGACTGCGGATCCGTCTGACAGACAGACTGAGAGAGTAGGTTGCTGACACGGAGGCATCAAAAAGCGAGGCGCGTCTGGCAATCCAAACAAAACGTGTGGAAGCAGTTAAATTGATCAGCTAGGTAACGTGGACGGGAAACGTCCCCCGCCCCCAGCAGTCTCTTCAACTAGCACCTTATACCATTGTCTGTCTTCAAGCAAGCCATTATGCAGGGCCTACAGAAAGCAGGACTGACCTCCCGGAGGCTTTGTTTCTGTTTGGATTTGCGAATAGATTTTTTTCAGGCCCCAGCCATCAAATATGGAATAGAAATTGCTCCCTTATTTCTCACGAGACAGCAGGGCCAATCCGCATGGCTCACTCCATTATGCAGTCTGTTTTCCAGTGAGCGCATCACAAGTTTTGCCTCTCGTTCTCTCGCTCTCTCATCCCTAAACTAAGAGAGTGAGGTCTTCCTCACCGTTCTTGACTGAAGGTCTTCCTCTGGAGTCTGCTCAGTCCTACCGCTAGTGTAATTCCATGCAAAAATTGGAAGTTTAACTTTCCTCCTGTAATGGGGGTCTTTGCTTTCTTGTCACTGAGTAGGTTGTAATGTATTCTGACAGGGAAAGGGGACGGGAGAGAGAGCTAACAGGGTCTCAGCAGAAACTAGCTCTCAGTTTGCTAATGGACCTCTGGAGACTTTGTCCACAGAAGCAAACTTCAGTCATTTTTAAGCCAGACCTCCTTAGAAACGGCTAATAAATTGAGTCTGTACGACATGGAAATGCAACTAGTAGACCACTTTACATTTCCGAAAAGCACAGTGTCTTGTCGCAGACGTTGTTTCACGTACACAATTATGCAAACTTTGAGCCTCATTCATGATTCACTAACCGAATGAATATGAGAATTTACGTAAAAATGGTGTTCACTACATTTTATGTTAGGCCCGTTTCATCAGTGTTGTAGTCGAGACCACCTCACTCGAGTCCGAGTCGACACCGAGACCAGAGAGAGTCGAGTCCGAGTCGAGTCCGAGACCAGAGACGGTCGAGTCCGAGTCGAGACCGAGACCAGTGAGGGTTGATTACCTAATTTACTTTTATTTACTTAGAGAAATCCTTTTTTTTTTTAGAGTTTAAAAAATATGATCAGTTTAGGGTAAAAAGGCCACATAGTAGGTGGTGTTAAAAGTAATTTTATTACAATTTGTCATGCGCAGTTGCGCACTAGAAAATCACCAATCACTGGGCGTGTCAATCAATTTAAAGAAATATTTTATTAACATACATTAATAATCATGATAAATATTTTTAATTGAACTCGAGTGGACTCGGGAATAATTCCGAGTCCTAAAAAAAAATGTTCGAGTACGAGTCAATTCCGAGTCCAAATGGACACGAGTCCATGACAAGACCAAGACCATTAAAATATGGTCTCGAGGCCGAGTCCGAGACGAGTCTCGAGTACTACAACACTGCGTTTCATTACACGCGCTGAATGAATTTCTGTATAAAAGTCTAAACTATATCTGCAACAATTTACGTAAGGATGATTTTACGAACAGTTTAACACACATGGCCAAAATGGTGTTTGCTATTAGCGATTTTGTGAATTATTTAATTTAATATCACTCAGTTTAATGAATGAGATCCAGTATACGCAAATGTTGCTTGCTGTAAATTCTGTTATTTTCAGTTTAATTTCACTTAGTTAAATGCTTTGTTTTGGGGTTTTATTTAACAATTCAAATTGGGGCAATTTATCCCTTAATGATTTATGCCTCTATGTTACATTACATAGATGTTTTGTTCACTGTGAATGATGTGAATTTAGTTCGGCTAATCCTGTTTATGTGATTTAGCAGGTTTATTTTTGTCCGTGGAAAGATTTCAAGCGTAGTTGCTGTGCTTTGATCACTGAAGCGCTGCATTGTTTTTTCTGAGGTTTGCCTCCACCGCCGCTGCTGCTGCTGCTGTTGTTGTTGTTGTTGTTGTTGTTGTCTTAGCCAGCTTATGCAAGAGGCTCGAATTGCGGTAAACAGGGTTTGGGGGGATGGAGGGGGTGGGTGCTGTAAATCTCTCTCAGCCTCCCTCCCACCGTCACCCCCTCATAAGCTGTAATGGACCATTAGAAATGCAAGACAATTAACTATCAATGGCGGAAGGAGGGGGCTCCACCCCCCACCCACATCTCGCACACAGTTCTTAGTACACACGAAGAGAACAAGACGGCAAGGTTTCCATGGGCCACATGCACTTTCTAGTGTTTTGCGTGTGTATGCTCACTCACTCGCTCCTCTCTCTCTCTGTTTCACTATAGCAACAGCAGCAACAGCAGCAGTTGGCAGCACAGCAGCTGGTCTTCCAGCAGCAGCTCTTGCAAATGCAGCAACTGCAGCAGCAGCAGCACCTGCTCAACATGCAGAGGCAGGGCCTCCTCTCTCTGCCCCCTGGCCCAGGACAGCCCACCCTCCCCGGACAGACTCTGCCGCCAGGTAATGTCGTCACGTGACCATATGAGAGTTTGCGTGTGTGGCTGCGTCCTCTTTTAAACTCCTTTTTTTTTCCTGCTGCAGTTTCCTTGCCATTTCAGTTTTTTTTTTTTCTGGTTCTCTTTCTCTCTTGCCTGTGTCTGTGTTCTTGTTGTTTTCCCATCTCCCCCCTCTCTCCCACTCTCTCTCTCTCACTCTCTCTCTCTCACCCTCCCCTCCTTGGCTGTTGTTGTTGTTTACGGACTCGCAGTGCGAGCTCAGAGCTGTGAGGAAGACGAGCTGTTGCCATTTGCTTTTTTCCTGGAACGAACACCTGGTGCTGTACTGTGTTTATCGAAATGGCGCTGGATGACGATAGTTCGAAAATGGCTCTTAATTGGAGTACAGTCGGGGCGACAGAGAGCGGAATAGTCATTTTATCATCCGAGGGATTATATGATGATTTGATTCTGCACACAGAGGCTCGTTTATGAATGCATAATCATGTGCAGATGAGTTCCTGGTTGCTTTGTACTTTCGGATACCGCGGAAACGAAGCGAGGGATGAGCGTCCAGGTCGATCTCGTGCCGGTTTACCTCCAGATGCTTAAGTGCGATGCTCAGGTTTCGCTGCAGAGCAGAACAGGTTTACCTACCTTGTTAGAAAAGGGCAGACGGTAGCTCATAATGAGTTTTGCGAATTATTGTTTCTCTAAAGCTGTTTGTGGTTCTCTTGCAGCTGGTCTGAGCCCCGCCGAACTCCAGCAACTTTGGAAAGACGTCACCAATAGCCACGCCATGGAGGACAATGGGCTAAAACACAGCGGCTTGGACTTGAGCACCACCAACAACTCGTCCACTACCTCCACCAGCAACCCCAAAGCATCTCCGCCCATCACCCATCACGGCATCTCCAACGGCCAGTCCCCAGCCCTCAACAACCGGAGAGAGAGGTACCTGAACACGCACACATGCTAAAGCTAATCAGAAAGGTGCTGGATTATTCTTCTACTTACCCGATCACCATTGGGCCCCTGAGATCCAGCTGGATTGGCCATGGGTAAAAGCGTCGCTTGATGCAAACTCTCGCTTTTCAGACATGTTTGATCACAAACCCCCCGATAAAGGGTACACATGAACACAAAGATGGGTTAACAAACACAAACCGAACAGCCATTTAATCTACTTTTCATGTGCGACACAAAAAAAAACAGAAGAACAGTTGATCTGTTTGTCACCATTTGCAAAAGGAAAATGTTCATTCCTGCAGGGGGAGAGGGCTGTGTGTTTTGTTTGTTTGCTCATCAATAGTTTATTAATGTCTGGATAACAGTTGAAATGAGACAAAACCTCCCTTGAGACAGCGCGCTATTGAATGCAGTGCCTTCCGGTATATCAAACGCACGGAGGTGCAACTTTCAGTGGCAGGAACACACAGCTCACCTCACTGTACATTAAGTATTTAATACCTCGCTTTTCTTTTGAAATTGCTTTGCCGGCACGGCTTGTCATGTAAATAGAATACACTTTGCCGGGGTGGCATTTCCTGAGCGTTTATCCGCACGACGACCCTTTTATATGCTCCGCGTCTGCTGTGAAACATAGATTCGCATATTTCTCTATGTATTATTCAGTCTGTAGCGGCCATATGTTTGTACATAGCAACAGCCGTTGACTTCACTGGGGGGTGGATGTGTTGTGTAATTGGTTTCAAGTATGTAGCGTCTTCAAAGAAAGCCCTTTCTGGAGAGAGATATCTTTCTAGAGGCAGAGAAGAAAAAGGAAAAAACAGAGCTATAGAGAGACAGGGAAATAATTTAAGAAATAGGTTACCCTCTTTTCTTATGTGTTGGCAGTCTCTCAGGCCCACGGTCTTTCGTAATAACGGAGTGTGTTTTGTTGTCAGAGCCAGCTGCTTTCTAAGATGTGCTGGATCGATAACGGCAAGGTAAAACAGCCGGTGAGGTTTGTGTGTGTGAGCGTGTGCCGCACACAAACACAGCGCATGGGTCTGCTTAACCTCACTTTCGCACATTAGCCCCTCAGCACCATTAGAACCGGCGGTCGTAACTTATCGCAATGTCTTTTCACAACAGGTTGTGTCCTTAAAAACGGCAGTTCCGCCACAAATGAATCTCCTGGTGAAAATTAAAGCACAGCTGCTGGTTTTTCGATATTTTCACAAGTTGTCCGTAATGGCTTTACAAGGTGAAAGTATGTGGAAAGAAAGTTTGATGGGTGATTTTACTTGGCCGGGCGTGTTTTTTTTAAGACACCCGTGTCTCCTCAGTAATACTCTGGATCAATAATCAAAAGGTGGCCTGATGACGAGAGAGAGCTTGTGTTTTTCCAGCTTTTCTGAGCTTCAAGTCCACCTTCTCTTCACAAGCTTTCATGCCAGAGAAGTGCACTAAACTGAGCCGTTCTAACCCCACTTTAGGTCATAACAGTGGCAGTTTTTTTTTTTTCTTCTTAATTTAATGCTCATTATTTCTCTTTCAGTTCACTGCATGAAGAGACTGGAGCGTCACATTCCCTCTATGGGCATGGAGTGTGCAAGTGGCCAGGATGTGAAAGTATTTGTGATGACTTTGGACAGTTTTTGAAGTAAGTGATCATCAAGAGACACTCGTTTGGACTAAGTAGTTTGTCTGTTTGCTCTGTTTGTCTCTATATAGAAACATTTTGATATCTTAATTAACAAAATCAAATTATTCAATCTCAAAACTTTCCAGAGTTTAGCTTAGAGCCAGACCGATATATCGGCAGGCCGATATTATCGGCCGATATTAGGTATTTTACAAACTATCGGTATCGGCAGTTATAATGGCCGATAAATTAATATTTCAAAAATAAAATAAAAATGGATGAAACACGCTTCAACCATTGCATGTTGGAGTGTTGGAGTTGTATAAGTTTGTCCACTTATACCACAGCTTTGTTAATTAATTAATGAGCCACAAAACGCATAGCAAATCTCCCAACAGATTTCTTCGGTACACCTGTCAGCCTATCAGACTTGGTGCTCAGAATGACCGTGCGTCTCCAAGGCTTTGTGAGTGGATGATGGGTTGGAGGCGAGTGGCAGAAGCTAATGGCAACCCGCATAGCCGTGCAGTGTTGTCATGGCGTGGCTAACGGAGTGAAATGAACTCTTCATGCTCCATCAACAATTTAGTTAATTAGCTCATTTGTAATTGGTCTGCTTTGTTGCCGGGACGTGAGTGGGGGGACATCAAAGGAGAAGGTGTTTGCAGTGCTGGAGATTGCAGGTTATCACGTTGCCACTCTGAGGAAAGAGCCTCGCCATCAAAGAATGGAGAAAAGGGTTCATTTGAATATTCTAATTAGATCCGTAATTAACTGTGAAATAATAATCTGGTGCGTTTGGAGGGTGTAAATGTCCACGTCAATTCTTGTAAACGGCTTTTGAGAGTGGCGACATCGTTCTCTTCTTTTACAAACGCCTAAAGAGTCCACATCAAACAATTTAACGTCTTTGTGTGCGTTTTAAAATGAGCCATTTAACTGGTTAGTTCTGACTGTCAACTAAAAGACCATATTTACCTCAAAGTCCGGGGTCAACTCTCGCCGTCTACCCCATTGACTCTCGTTTATTACGTTCATTGCAGCATAGCATGAATCAGAGATCATGTGATCTATTCCCTGCCAAATTCAGCTCACCGCTGTGTGCAAATCAATGGTTGAAGAGAACTGCTCTGTGTCTGACGAGCTGTGCTGTAGGACGCTGCTACAGCAATCAGCCTCCAAATCTTTGTCGAAATGGGGGCGAGACACCCTCGTTCGCTCCCGGAGCCGGAGACGCCCCCGTACTGTAACTCGTACATGAAAACACTCCCACAAAAAGACAGTGTGATCTGAGCCGGCGAGATGCCGGGTGGCGCTGTGCCTTGGAGGAGCGATTGTCGGTGTCAAAAAGAAGCTTTTAATGTCGTTCGGAGATGCCAGTCACAGCTGCGTATCATCCAGGTACACACGCTTAAAATGGTTTACATAAAATAGGTGTCAGATTCAAATGGCACCTTTTGATGGGGAAGCAGAGGGCGGAGGGATTCACCCAGCCTGCGTGAGCTTGTAGCTCGTGGAGAAGAAACCAGCCCCGCTTTTGTAATCTTTGTTGTGTTGCCGAGAAAGTTGTCAAGATCAGCATTTAAGTGCAGCTCTGCACTCTTTCATGCGCCGCGCACCTGGAGAGGGGTAGCCAAGAGGTGCCTGGCACATTATATTAGCTCTGAAGTTCAAATAGACGCACGTGAGCATGCATGCGAGCGGGTACACCTTGAGACGTGTGTATTAATGCAACAAAGCACACGTCTTGCGGGTCTGATTCAGGGCAACTTATTTGGGGGTTATGTGCAGCTAAAAGAGGGGGCTAATGAATTCATAGCGTTCTAATGTCGTTCTGCCACGCAGGCGATTTTGTTATTGTTTAAGCTCCAGATTGCTGCCCTAGTTCTCTTATTGATTTCCTCTCACATGCTTGAGAAGAGTCAGGATGAGTGTGGTGAGGAAAATACAGACATACCTGCTGGCCTGTAATAAAGATTGACACGCTGTCATCGCATGCTAGCATTTGCAGTGGCGTCTTCCCAACGTTAACGCAATAAGGGCTTGTGGATTTCATCTCAGTAAACAAATCCTTGCCTGTCTTAATCGGGCTTTTGCTGGGAAATAAATCTTTCTTTTTCGCCTATAGCTAACATTTCACACCGGTGAAGCAACCTGTCGAGCTTCCACCACTTAAACTGCAGCGTAGATGGGAGCTAATGAAAGCCAACAGGGTTTGATTAATCAAGTCCGTGTCCGGTTGAGGGAGATGAGTCCTTTGAAATTAGCATAACGATTTGATTGGTCCGCATTGACTGGAGAGATTTAAAGCATATATTTTGCAGCTAGCTTTAACTCAACTGATTTTATTCCATCTGTGGTTTTCAGTCCGTTGCGTACCTGTCCATCTGTTCCTTAGACCATCAGAGCCCTCATTCCCCATCTCAAAACAAAAATCAATATGCCTATAAAGTGACCCATAAATTACAGGAGGCTCCAGAGATGTTTGCTCAGAGCGAGCGGGCGGCCCGTCTCATTCTCCTCTCACCTCTCTGTTTGAACTAAACCCAGCGCCACAGGCTCATTAAGAGATATTGGTGACTGCATCTAACCCCCCTCCAGCCCCCTGCTTTTATCAATGCATAGTCAAACACCTACAGCCTGAATATTTCATAGCCATGCAGTAATCTGGATGTAATCGCCAACATTAACTGGCTCTCGCTAACGTTAGCACTCGCAAAAGACTCTGTTGTTTCATATGTTTTTCTTCTGGCCATTTAATTTAACTTTATATATACAATTGGTAATTTATGTCACAATTATGACTATAATAGTACATTTTATTTCTTCTTTTAATAGTGACTATCTTAAAACTGATTTTTCCCAATTTATTTATGTTTCACAAAATTGCAATTGCGACTTTATTGCTTATAGATGCATTTCTTGCAATTCTTTCTTGTTAATTGTCACTTTATTACAATTTATTTATTTTTTTAATTAATTCTGACTATAACTTACAATTGTCACTTTCTTTCCCAATTTGTTCCCTATTAATTGCGATCTAACAGTTGTAACTGTATTTTTTTATACAACTTACATTATATTTTACAATTGTAACATTATATTGCACAGTTGCGGAAGAGGATTAGGGGCAAGCAATAATAAAAAAAATAAAACCATTTTGAGATTAAAGTCATTATAATGCGAGATTAAACTCGTTAAATTTCGAGAAAAAAGTTGAAATACAATCTTGAGAATAAAGTCGTTGTGTTTCCAGAAAAAAACGTGTTAAATTTTTAGAAAAAAGTCTAAATCCAATCTTGAGATTGAACTCGTTAAATTTCGAGAAAAAAAGTCGAAATACAATCTTGAGGATAAACTCATTAAATATCGAGAATAAAGTCATTGTGTTTCAAATAAAAACTCGTTAAATTTCGAGAAAAAAGTCGAAATCCAATCTTGAGAATAAACTCATTCAATCTTGAGAATAAAGTAGTTGTGTTTCGAGAAAAAAAAAAACTCTTTTAAATTTCGAAAATAAAGTCGTGTTCCGAGAAACTATCTCCGTGGTTACTTTGTAAAAACGTTTGTATTACTGCCACACTACCATTTTCGGTCCCCATGTCTGCACGGAGCTCTCGGGACACCCTCCTATGCTAGTAATTGTTTTTATGAAGTAGCTAACTGGCTATTACTTTAGGATCGTGGTTGTGTACGCCTCCACATTTCATTTCAACTTTTATTCTCGAAACACAATGACTTTATTCTCGAGTTAATTCTCACAATTATTTAGTTAATTCTCGATTTTATTCTCGATTTTTATTGAGTTTATTCTCAAGATTGTATTTCTACTTTTATCTTTACAAGTTTTTTCTTGAAACACAACGACTTTATTCTCGAAAATTAATGAGTTTATTCTCAATTTTGTATTTCGAATTCCTTTCTCAAAATTTAACGAGTTTAATTTCGCATTATAATGACTTTAATCTCGAGATGGTTTTATTTTTTATTATTATCGCTTAGCCCTAATCCTCTTCGTACACAGTTGTGACTTCATGTCTCACACTAATGACTTTGTCATAACTGTGCTTTTATATCTCGCAATTGCCCTAATAAATAAACTAAACTGAACAATTGTGACTATGTTAACAACGGTCTCTCTCCATCTCCAAAACATGCTTAAAGAACCTAATATTTGAAACTTTGCATTTCTTTATTTGACTCTTGGAAGTGGAAACAAGCTTCCATTAGAAAAGAAAACCTCACGTTCCTAAAAGAAACAAGATTAAGATCTAGATGGTTGCTAATGAGAAACGGGGCGTGCGAGATAAGATGTGTTATTTAGCAAGCTACCTGTCGGGACAGAGGAACTAGCCAGTCGTGGCTTTTGAAGCAGCTGTAATGTATGACATCCACCATACATCAAGTGCCCAAGATAGCATTATGAGCATTGAAATGAAAAGGGTATTTGCAGCATTAGTTCCCTGCGAGGGACCTGATTACATGATTAATGAAATGCCCCTTTGCATGCGCATTCTGAAACAGCAATTAGGCACGGGGCCGGAGAAAGGCACCAGCTCTCCAGTCATCCTCACCATTTTTTTTTTTCAATGCTATCTCACTCTTGATTTATAATGGAGAATATCTGAGCATTAGACCTGAAACGGTTACAATAGCAAAAGCGGGCGTGATGGAATGAAATAATTTGAAATGGGCACAGGCATAATTGAAAGGTAGCGGTGGCCATTGTGTTCTCAAATGTCCTCTGCTTTGATTGGCGTGTTTGAGGAGGATTATGAATACGTTGTTATTTTGCGTTTTGCACATAAACAATAGCTCACGCTATGAATAGAGAATGAATAGCGAAAATGCTTAGTAGTGTTAAAACTAGCTCAGTGTGGGTGGGTGGGTGTGTTTGCGTGCGCGTGTGTGTGTGCGTGCGCAATTTGAGCTCACACTAATGCACTGGAGGTTGTACTGTAAATGATCATTGAAGGGTCTGCAAGCTAACCTATAATTACAGGAAAGAGAGTGGCAGCATTGGCATTTCACAAGCATGTCTTCTAAAAGAGCGCTTTGTGGGTTTGTCACCAATGATAATTTAGATAGAGGCTCATTACCGAACATCACAACACTTTTAAAAACCTTTTCGCCTCCGTGCGTTTGCCGGGAATAAAGGTCTATTTTAATGGTGGGCTTCTTTTGTGTCCTGCAGACAAAATCCAATCAAGGAAAACCGCCATTGACTGCTCTTGCAGTCTGAAGTGTTTTTCTTTTTTCTCCCCTGCGTAATATTCTAATGAAAGGATGAGTAGATACATTTAATATGTCGACGGAATAATGCACTCTTCGTAGGAGGCGCTTTTTAAACGTTACTCGAGTTAAATTGCATTTATTATATTTATTTCTTGATAAATGTAGAAGACAAAACCTCTGCGCGAGGCCTTTTGTACGCCAACATCCCTCATAAGCTGTTGTGTTCGGAGCGCTGCCTCTCATTCACATGACAGTCGCTCTATTGTGATGTTAAACACCGGCTTTCAGCAAGCGAGAGACACACTTGTTAGACGCCGGCGGTTTGTTAAAAGCTAATGGGCTGGACGTCCTGTAATCCAGAAATCATATTCATCAACAACGGTGGTAGTTGATCAGCTTGTTATTAGTCCAGCCTGTGTGTGTGTGTGTGTGTGTGTGGGCTTGGTTTTTCATCAGTTTCTCCTGTTTGCCTACAGGCACCTTAACAATGAGCACGCTCTGGACGACAGGAGTACCGCCCAGTGCCGAGTACAGATGCAGGTGGTACAACAGCTAGAGATTCAGGTACAGTAGACTCATGAATATAAACACACACTGAAAAGAACAGTTCAGCCAAAACATTACAGTTCTGACATTCTTGACTCACCATTATGTTATTCAAACCTCTATGGCTTTCTATCTTCTGTGGAACACCAAAGAAAATGTTGTGTATCCATACAAGTCAATTTTGGTTTAGCATTGGTTTGGACCCCTTTGACTTTCATTGTTTCTCGGCAGGTTTGAAACACAAAGGTGTGTAAATGACAGAATTGTAATTTTCACCTTAAAGACAACATGAAATGACATGATTTGTAGGCTAATTTCTTCACAACACGTTAAACCAAAACTGTTAAACTTAGCTTTATAGCTAGTTAGCATACTAGCTTATGTAACAGTTTATTTTTGGGTGACATAGTTACACGTGTACTCCTAATCGTAACTCTATAGAGAGCCTAAGTCCCTCCCCTTCCGGTCGACCACCATGGGACCTTATTTCGGAAAAATATTGAATGGTAGTCAATGGCGAGAGACAACAAATATTTTGATCTCGTTTGAATTGTGCCCTGAATTACACATATGATGTTTGTCAATTTAAAAGATACATTTTAAAGTAAAGAAAGTCGCAGTTTGATGTAAAACCGTTGAGGTATAAGACTGTGAAAATACGTAATTACAAAGACTACAAACCCCACAGGCGCACATTTTCTCTCAATGAATAAAGCTAACTTTACTGAGGCTGTCTGTCATTGTTTCTATAGTCTTACATTATAATCGTAACGTTACGCCGTCATACCTGAGTGTTTTGTACCAGTCTGCACACACACGAGCAATGGATCTCACTCGTTGTTTCACTTCCCGGGAGATGTAGTTCATAGAGCGATTTTCACATAAAACTAAATGTTACTCTTCTGTTTTATGACAAACTGCGACGTTTTTGACTTTCAGAATTATCTTTTAAATTGACAAACATCATATGTGTAATTGAGGGCACAGTTCAGATGGAATAAAAAGATAAGTTGTCTCTCGCCATTGACTACCATTCATATTTTTTCCGAAATAAGGTCCCATGAGCCGGAAGCGGAGGGGCGGGACTTAGGCTCTCTATAGTTAGTAAACGTTAAAATAAGGTGTAACCCCAGCTTATACTTGAAACTTAGCAGCATTGCAAATATTATTAGCTGTTATAACAACATAAATTGCCTGTGGTGTTTGTCATTTGGATAACAACGTCTATAAAAATGTATCTGTTTATCTGACCAATGACAGATAGTGGGAGTGTTCGGAAAGCCTGTTTTTGCATTTGCTGTGTATTAAAAGCAGGAAATATTTAAAGCGACTTCATTCTGTCGTCAGGACACGAATGAATTGTGAAAAGTGGGTGTTCAGTGCCAACATGTTGGGCTTAATAAAAGTTAACACACCCTTATAACATTTCCAGCACGTTTTATTAATTAGCTTGTTGCCATAAAAAACTTGCAGCGCATAAACTGTAAAAATGCACAAGGGACACCTTGAGCAAATCCATCCCAACAAAGGTGAAAACCATCACAGGCCTTTATAATTGAATCATGGTTTGTGCTTATTTTCTATCCCGTCCAATTAATATGCGCGCATCTGGGCTGGACTGTGTTAATTAAATACACTTTGCACCTGAAGGAACCTCTAAAGAGAGCCACTATTTTCAGTAGCTGGAGCGTGACCTTATTAAGGTGTCACGCTGGCGAGATAATGAGAGCAGTGATTGAGGGATGCTATTACTCAGCGCTGCGACCATCTCTCCCACCAGTTAACGCTCTGTCCTTTGCCTCACACCTTCCGGTGCACCATGGGATACGCCGCAAGGGTTGCGCCGGGGCTAAAATCCATCCTTCTGTTCATTTCAAATAAATAACCGTTTTTTTCTTGCTGTGTATTTGCGGCCTGTGCTTATGCAGATCTCGCCGTTCCCCGACGTTTACTCGCCTTTGTAGTGTGGCCCCTCTAAGCCTCTGTGATGCCCATCTGAATGCAAGCCAAGCGTTCCCCTCAACCTTTAAAGGTTTTTACGCTCGGCGAAACCCTCCCTATTTATTTGTTGGGCTCTTGAAACAGAACGATGAATAATTCTTGTTTATATGTAAAATAACAGACGGACATCACGATTTCTCCCTTGACTTGTTCTCGTGTTCGCTGATACCACAAAGCCGGCGTGCTTACACTGTGACCAATTACACCAGCGCTGCTGTTTTCTGTCCTTCTGGGCTTTTTTCCGGTCCTCCGTCAGTGGTAATGAGGCCCGGTTCAGAGCTCGGATCCCAGCTCGCTGGCGGAGTTCAAGGCGGTGCGCTGTGCGGGCCGGTCCCTGTCACTCTCCGTGAGTTAGATTGATGATAACGGATCGCCGGGGCACTAACTGGACCCGGGAGGAGGCAGGGAGGCGGGACCGGCTGGCACTCTGTTTGCGGGACCCCTTCACCTCTCGGCAGCTGCTAGATCCAGTCCAGCCCTAACAGTGTCCACAGGACTTTGAGTCGACCAACAGGACCCTCTAATTTATGGCCTGAGTATCTTGTTACTGTCAGAGCTTTGCTGACCTAAATTCTGCTATTGACAAAAAGATGAAGTGCTATTTGTTTTCTGTGACCTCCGAGCACCACCTTCAGCTCTCCATCGCCGCACCACGAGGAATGGTTCTCTTATCTTTGCTTTAATACGCTCTCTCTCTCTCTCTCTCTCTCGCTCTCAGTGGTTCTCAACTGGTTTTGCTTCAGGTGTCCAACACAGTACAAAACTATTTTTATCATCTTAAAGTAACAAAAAATGGCTTTAAAATCAAACATTAAAGCATAACACTTCGCAACAAAACTGAATATATATATAATAATGGTTTTTTTTTTTACATAAATGTATACTTTTACGCATTTATTCATCTTTGGTATTTCTGCACATACTAATGTTTTAAACATTAACAGTCAACAAGATAAAAAATGCTCTTAAGAAATAGTCAATTTAGTATTAGTATTACTAATATTACAGATTTCCAAGTGAATTTGCTCTAAAACAGTTGATGCTTTGGACAAGATATGTGATGTTTTCTCTCCTCAAATCTGTTTCTTTGAGGCAAGCTTAAAGGAGTTGTTCACTTTTGCTGATAATTTACTCACCCCCATGTCATCGTAAGATGTCCATGTAAGAAATTAAGGTTTTTGATGAAAACATTCCAGGATTTTCCTCCATATAATGGACTTCAATGGTTCCAAAATGGTTTGAACCAAACGGTTCAAAGTCCAAAAGACAGTTTCAATACAAACTGCAAACTGTTCAAAGGGCTTTAAACAATTCCAGACGATGAATAAGGGTCTTATCAAGCGAAACAATCGCTCATTTAATAAAAAAAATGACAAAGTTATGTTTTATAAGCTCAAATGCTCGGCTTGCTCTGTTCTGTGATGCGCGTTCGTGACTCTCCTGTTCGAATTGAAAAAGATTCGTTCATTTTGTTCGAAATTCGAACAGGAGAGTCACGAACGCGCATCACAGAACAGAGCAAGGCGAGCATTTGAGCTTATAAAATATTTTTTTTTTAAATGAGCGATCGTTTCGCTTGGTAAGACCCTTATTCATCGTCTGGAATCGTTTAAAGCCCTTTGAACAGTTTGCAGTTTGTACTGAAACTGTCTTTTGGACCTTGAGCCATTTGGTTCCCACTGAAGTCCATTATATGGAGAAAATCCTGGAATGTTTTCACCAAAACCCTTCATTTCTTTTCGACTGAAGAAAGAAAGACATTGACATCTTGGATGACATGGGGGTGAGTAAATTATCAGCAAAAGTTTTTTTTAAAAGTGAACTACTCCTTTAAGGAAGCCTGTTCGGCCTTATGCAGGATTTATTACAAGCAGACAAGCTCGATAACAAGATGTATTACTGTGGTAGTCTGGGGAAAATCACTCATTTCTAAAACTGGTCTGTTTTCTTTTTTTTTTTTCTTCCTCCCTCTTTCCACTAACAGCTTTCTAAAGAACGTGAGCGTCTTCAGGCGATGATGGCACACTTGCACATGAGGCCTTCAGAGCCCAAACCATCACCAAAACCGGTGAGTGCATATTGGTACGCGTACAGTAAACAGGACTCGGATGGTAAATGAGCTCTCTAAACACGGCTGGAGGATGAGAGGAGAATGGGATTTGTAATGCCTGCTTTCTTGGGACCCTATCAGGAAGGAGAGAGCATTAAATCATACACCCGATCTCAACCAAAAACGCAGAGCCATTACACTTTGATGGCTTGGCACGGCAAACAACCTATTGGCGGGTAAAAGCTATTTAGCACCGCGACCGCAGGCACACTTAAAGTAGGGGGAAGATGCTTTGTTTTAGAAAACAAACAGTTTGAAATGATAGATAAGATGACCTGTATAGAAATAACCAGTAATCTGTAAACATTCAGAGATATTGCGGTGTATTTGAAGAAAAAAAATGGAGCAATATTTGAAAATGGCCCATCTGTCTGGATCCCCGTAAAGAAAAAAATACAGACTGTTGTGCTGGAAGTGAAAGTGTTTACAAAAGAGAGTAGGCTGTGATAAATATTATTTATCAGAATTATTTATTAGATATTCAATATTTTGCAAGGGAAAACATTGTTAATGTGTTTCTGCCGCTTAGCAAGTAGCTAATTTCACCAGTATAATTTTTTTACTCATCACCTCCCACCGTATAAAGCAGATAATCACAAGACAGAATAATTATCCTGTAAATCCATCAGGAATCGACTGCTCACCTCTGTCGATTTATTATTCAAGTTTTTTTTTCTCCTTTCCATTCTCAGAACTCAAGCAGCACGGTGAAATCGACTCTAATAAAAAACGTTCAGCCTATAATCCACAACCGCATACGAATGAATAATATTAATGAAGTATTACATTACATAAACCGCACATGAAAGGACCGCTAATTGCATTTGATGATGAGCAATTAATGGCGGGTTCTTAAATAATCAGCGAGGGTCTGCGATTTTTTTTCCGGCATGCTCCTTTTTGTCTTTTAGTGCAAGTGTTGGGCTCCACGTTATCAGTTTCACAGGTACAAAAGAGAACACGTGTATCCTCCCCGCAAAAAAAGGGATGTTAGAGATTAAATGGCGGTACTTTCACACCCTCGTACGCACAGGGCCATCAGAGAACCATCCCACACATTTGATAAATATTAATAGTGAGAATTTATTAGCACAGACAAACCCTCAACAGCTATCAGTAGCCCAACACAGGGTGTGGGGTATACTGCTATACGACCCCATTTAAACTCTGAATGGCACTTCATTAAATGTTACCTTTTGGCCATGCCATGGATGGCTGAAAATCAAAGTTACCAAGGCTGCTAGTCCTGAATAATGAGGGGCTCTCTTTTTTTTTTTTGCCAACCCCTTCCCTTCCTCTCAGCCAACCTTGAATATATATTCAGATGAGCAGCAGTAGTAAGGGGCTGATCCCTATGTCTCATTCACTCCTGCTCAGTTAAGCTTTAATAAATTCCATTTTGCAAACACCGGGTTGTATGCCTGCAAACATGTTACGCTTGTTGCCATAACCAGGTGAGGAGAAGGAAGGAAAATCTTGTCTTAACATTTTAAATATACATGCAGCACACTCTATCTGTTTCCCCGCTCGCTCGCTCGCTCACTCACTCACTCACTCACTACTGATAGGATTTATTATCAAGTGCTTTTTAGCAGTGTTTGACAGTGTATCAAAACCTTTTTAGATGAGTACTGTGTAATTACGGGCTGATGCAGTGGTGAGAAAGACATTTAGAAGGACAATCCTTAAATCTGGTGCCGTGACCCAGGCCCTGACGAAACTGTCAAACTGTGTTTTTGCAAGCTGGGTACAAATGTACAAATGGCAATACTGTATTTGTGTCTCATATTAGAAAGTGATAATGCACACAATAATTGCTACCTGTAGTGTTGCTTTTTTGTATTTCATTCATCTGTGGTGAATTTAAAATGTAATTTGTATATTCAATGTGGGAAAATCACAGTATTTATTTATTATTTATTCACTCATTAATTTTTTTTTTAATATTGTGCACTGTAATACACAGTAAATGTCCTTTTTAACTTATTACAGGGTGCATAAGTCAGGACACCCCTATGTTAAATTCCCATAGAGTCAGGTAGATTTTTATTTTTAAAAGCCAGTTATTTCATGGATCCAGGATAATATGCATCCTGATAAAGTTCCCTTGGCCTTTGGAATTAAAATATCCCCACATCATCACACACCTTCCACCACACCTAGAGATTGGCATGGGGTACTTTCCATAAGATCATCTTTCAATGCAAATCAAACCAGCTATTAGGCTAACTGAAGTAAAACCATGCCAATCTCAAGGCATGGTGAATGGTGTGTGATGATGGTTTTAATTCCAAAGGCCAAGGGAACTTTATCAGGATGCATATTATCCTGGATCCATGAAATAACTGGCTTTAAAAAAAAAATCTGCCTGACTCTATGGGAATTTAACATAGGGGTGTCCTGACTTATGCACCCTGTATTTTAAGGAAAAACATTTATTTATTTATAATACATTATTCATTCACAAAGAAAATTGGTGTCCTTAAAGGTTGGAGTTTTCCTCATTTTTCTAATTAAGCCATTAAGATCAATATCCAAAAGATGATTTTTTATTCCTCTTTTAAGGCAACTTTAGCATGGGTGTCCAAACCTATTCACATCACTGTATTGACTCAGCATGTGATGTTGTGATGTCAAAAACATAACCGTTTACCCTTTTGCTAAGACATCACGTCTCTGTCATTAATTTCCTTTCAAGGTCTTAGTTCCAGTCGTTAGCCAGAATACAACATTCCCCTAGAGGAGTCATTGATTTCTCACAGTGGTAAAGCGCGTGCCACTCTCTGTGTTGGCATTATCTCATTATCATTATAAGTGGAGCTGTAATTGTCTATAGAGCAGCCACACGGTCGCCTGAGAATTGCCAGCTTGACATTTCATTGTCACGTGCCACAAGCGATTGTTGTTGTTCGTTTTCAATTCCGAAAGCACCGGAATTCCGCCTGCCAATTCGCAATTAAGGCCATTTGGTTTGAATATGTAATGATGTCATTACCATTCAAAGGAAGAGACTAAAGGTCAGGGTGGAATTTTCCACTCGGGTGAAGTCGGGACACAAAAAGTGCGTATCGATTAAAAACCTGCCACTGTGTTTGGTTTGGTACGACAGGAAGTAAGCGAGACGGATTACTAGCGAGGTACCAGGCTATGGCAGAAAGCCAGGTGATCTCCTTACCGTGCAGGGAGCTCTTATGGGATGGAGATGGGCCGGGATAACTCACAGCCTGATCATTAGATAATCTTTAACAGCGTGCTCTAATTAGAATTCTTATGATACAATTTCATCCTGTAATTAGTGCAGATTGGCTGCTTCCTCCTATGCTTATTAGGGGAAACACAGCTGTAGGAATGAGCCAGCACTCGTTTAAAACGTGCTCTCTCTCTCTCTCTTCTACAGCTGAATCTCGTTTCCAGCGTCACAATGTCAAAGAACCTCCCATCTGTCTCACCCCCCAACTTACCTCAGACGCCGACCACGCCCACCGCTCCAGTCACGCCCCTTTCCCAGATGCCCCAGGTGCCCAACGTTCTCAGTCCAGCCAACGTGCCCAGCATGGGCGCCATGCGCAGACGCCACACCGACAAATACTCCATGCCCTTGTCCTCAGGTTTGTAGAAGCGTGCTTGTTCCGGTGAGCTGAAATCAAATCATCAATATTCAATGAATTTTAATTACAGGCAAATATAAAATAATGCAATATTCAAGAAGGCGATGCATGTAAAAACATCATCTTGTTTGATGTTTATATTTACTGGTCTTGCGCAAGTGTTCGGAGCAGCGGGAAGGCATGAATTATTCAAACACATACAAAATATCGACGTGGGCTCTAATTTCATGAGCGTTTTAGTGTTTAAGATTTCTCCAGAGAGAGATTAATTAAAAATGTATTTAGTTGGACATGTAAAATGCTGATTTGAGGTGTCCCCCCCCCAACTCCTTCCGCCTCTGCCGTTTTAATTTGATAAAATCCTGAATGAATTCCTGGCGGAGGCGCGTTTAGCAATTATCCCAGGTGGCGACACCGTGGTGGTTTATTTTTTTATTTATCTGCTGCTTCTTACGCTCTCTTTATTTCTTTTTCTCTCCGCAGAGATCGCCCCAAACTACGAGTTTTACAAGAACGCTGACGTCAGGCCACCGTTTACTTATGCAACCCTCATCAGGCAGGTGAGTGGGGAAATAAATTAGCTTTAGCCTGATTAGATTGTAATTAATTGCTGCTTGAATTAAGTCTGGGTGAGAGAGCCTTGACGCTCTCCAGTCGCTAACGCACCGCTTAATGGCATCTCATCGCAGGCTATCATGGAGTCAGGTGACATGCAGCTAACGCTCAACGAAATCTACAGCTGGTTCACGCGCACCTTCGCTTACTTCAGACGCAACGCCGCCACCTGGAAGGTAACGTGTTACGGTTAGCAGCGATTGCGCCTCTTTTTAACCTGCCTCCTGAAAAGGGCCAATTCTCTCTTTTATCTCGCCCGCTCACTCTGTGACAAGTGAAAGAATAATTCAGCCTCTGATATCATTTTCTAATTTGGTGCAATTAATAGCCTAGTCTTGACGGGGAGGTGTGTGCTCTGACGCGCTAATTACTAACCAGCCACTCAATCATCAGCACCTTTTGTTAGCCGTGGTGGCGTATTACTGCTTTCTCAGTGTCTCCTTTTCATTTTTTCTCCTTCCCCACCCTGCATATTATTGGTTAATTACGCTGAAGGATGGCTGTTTGCCTTGTAGACGCACACCACTACATCCCTTTTCTTGTTGTTGTTGATGACACTCTATAACTCACGCGGCCAGACAAAAAGCCGAGGAGAACGAGACAAATGGAGAGAGAGAGGTTAAGACCTGGCTGGCTCTAAAGCGCTAATGCCTCTGTCATCCAGAAAACACACTTTATTTCCCAGGACAAAAGGCCTCATTTGTATCTCTGTCCCAACAAACACATTGTCAGGCGGGGATAAAAAGAAAAGGGGGATACGATAAAAGCCATCCTCTATTTTTAGACAGGGTAGCAGTGCGTGTCGATAAGATACAGTACGCGTCCGTTTTCTTTTTCCGTCTCTCATCAGCATGCCAAGCATTTCCCAGCACTAGATTTAGCAAAGTGAATTAATTTGGATTTGGATTGCTAATGATGCTGGTGTATGATTACAGCTCCACAAGGGTGTGCAATAGCTCCCCGTACAGATGCATGCTGGGCCACGACTCATTTACTGGCAGAGCGCCTGTTCGGAGACGCTTGAATGAGCGTTTTTAGGCATTTCATGGCCGCAAATTCATCCCTGTTCCCTCTGTCCTTATCAACCGAAATATTTTAATCTAGTCCCGACTGGAACAAAGAGGCAAAGCAGGGGCTTTCGGCATATTCGGGTCCCTCCTTCTACAATAGCGGAGCAGGAATTTCCATTCGGATCCTCCCTGCTCTTTTGTAAGGGCCCAGGCAGGGCCGGCTCGTGACGGGCTTGTCATTTGATTAACAGAGAGAATTTTTAAAAAGGAATGAAAGGTGATTTAATATCTGTGCTTGGTCTCATCAGCTCAGCTTGGGGATCGAGCTCTCAGCCCCGCCAGCTTATTAGTTATAACTATATAGCATGCATAATAAAACTGCTCATTTGCTCATTAATATTAAAATTATCATATTCAGAGCCATGGGCATTAAGATCAATCAAATCCTGGGATTTTCAGGTCAGATGCGAGATCTGCTTATGAGGGTTTTTTTTTTTCTATTCCTCTCTCTCCCTTTTCTTAGAGCAAAAAAACACCCACCCCTCAAATAAAACATGAAAAAAAAATGTAATATGAGCAAAGGTTATTATTTGGCTTTTTTTGCTGCATGTTTTAATTAGATTATATTATGGCGACACACGAGACTTGCCGTATTTCTTTATTTTATTATGATTTTTACAACGCTTCATGATTATGAAACAGTGTTTATGTCATTTTTGAAAAAACGAATAAATGTATTTTTGTGTTCTTAATTATTGTAAGAAATACTGCTGAAAAATGTCCCATATTTAGTTCAATCTGCCATAACGTGTTTCAACAAAAATATTTTATTTTAGGATAGTGAAAATGTGGCTGTGATATTAGTGGTTCATATTTTCTCCACATATGTGGCCTTGGTTATGACAACAGAAAGCTTTAAATAGATTAATATATATTAATGTTTTATTCTTTAGATCTATTGCATCTATTGGAGTAAATATGCCCAACTTTAATTGTGTGTTTAACAGAACGCAGTGCGACACAACCTCAGTCTGCACAAGTGTTTTGTCCGGGTGGAGAACGTGAAGGGTGCCGTGTGGACCGTGGATGAAATGGAATATCAGAAACGTAGATCTCAGAAGATAACAGGGTACACACACACACACACACACACACACAGCATAAATGTCTTTCAGATGTTGTTACAGTCCGATTAATTGTAAGCGTTTTTGTGTTCAGGAGCCCAACGCTGGTCAAGAACTTGCCATCCAGTCTGGGTTATGGGGCGGCTCTCAATGCCAGCTTACAGGTAACGTGTGTGTGTGTGTGTGTGTGTGTGTGTGTGTGTGAGGTTGGCACTGGCAGTGAGAGTCTAGAAGGACACCGTGTGGTAGAGGCAGGTACCTTCTCCCCCAGCTTGGCCTCAGATTGATAGCAGCCTGTGCAAATGCGAGGGCATAATCATTAATATTTATCCAAACTGTCATAAATGATTTGGCTTCGCAGTGTCGGCCAGCGAGCTGCTCGTGGCAAAAACTTTAAAATTTAATTACTGTATCTAACTTTAATGTGCAGGAGGCAAAAATGTCAGGAGTCTTTTTTTTTTTTTTTTTTTCTTTAACTGTTTTGAGGTAAAGTTTTGGATGGTTTCATTATTATGTGGATGCTTGTGCTTTCTTTATTCGCTGTTCATTTGAGGCCTGTCTTGTAAGGTGAAGAGATTGTTTTTCCAACTTGAAAACTCTCCCGTTGTTTTGTTTGTTTTTTTCCTGGCAGTTCTCTTCTGTTTTTATCATACGGTGAGACCGATTCTTCAGCAATAATTCGGAAGTAACTCAATAAAAAAGGGGAGATAATCTTGACATGCCGACTGATGAAAATGCTTGAGTGTAACTATTCCCTCTCTCTCTCTCTCTCTCTTTCTCTCACAGGCTGCGTTGGCGGAGACCTCTTTGCCGTTGCTGGGTAATCCAGGCTTGATGAATAGCGCGTCAGGTATGATGGGGGCGAGTCCTCATGGACTGATGAGCGGCAGCCCGACCGGCCTATTGCAGGGTGCCACGCACGAAGATCTCAACGGCACACTAGATCACCTGGACACTAACGGACACAGCAGTCCCGGATACTCCCCGCAGACCCAACTGTAAGTTCACCCGTGCATTTACACACATCTCAGTGGGATGTAATGGGCAGGGCTTGATTTTATCCAACAAAATTTGCTTGGATCTTGAAAAGTATACTTTTTGGCTTATATTGCTTGTTTTTTTAATCAATTCATTCAATTACACCAGCTGAAAAGAAAAACGATGTAAAAAATTTGATTAATGATGATCAAAGTAAAATTATTATTTATAATAAAACATTTAAATATTTTGTTCTTTCAGATCAGGAGTTTTAGCACTGAACTTGCAGTGGTATGTATATTTGCAAGGTTCCTAAATTACATTTAAAATGCATATGCTCAACAAAAGAAACACACAAAGTCATCTAGACCTGAGGTTAAGTGTACATTTGGTTCTTGGATTACAGCTCTTACCTATAAATAGGTAAGAAGTGAAAGGCTGCCATAATTATAGATTCCCTTGTAATTACCCCACTGTCCACATCGCAGAGGTTTAGATGTTATATTTTATGCAAGACCGTTCCTATTAATATTTAGAAGCTAACTATATCATTAATTACTTTAAAATCTTTGCCTTTCCATCTTTTTTAATGGCTCAGACTCAGAGAGAGAGAGAGAGAGAGAGAGCACAGGCTGATGAAAGATTAATGCGGTGCCGGTCAGAGGAATGGTGATATAGAACATGTGCTCGCCCTAATCAGTGATGTCACTCATGCTGGATGGCAGTGTTTACCGAGCCAAAGATAGTCGCACAAGGGCAGCGGGAAGTGTGTCGTACGCAGTCAGACTCGCGCTTGAGTTTCATGTGTTTTCAGTAACCCAAAGACACTATTAGCTAAAAAAAAAAAAACCACACCGCACGCTCCAGAAATGTGTGTTAATGGGAGTGTGTTTGATTCAAAAGTGGGACAGTAGTGTGAAGTGTGCCAAATCTGAGATCCAGACCGAATCCCTGTGTATTCACTCCCTCAGGTTATTTAACTTTTAATAATGGACAGTTAAGTCTGGTGTTTTTAGACCCCTCTCTCTCTCTCTCTCTTTCGCTCCTTCTGCCTCTCCGTCTTTCGTATTTTCTCTCTTTCTGGCTGAAGCGTTCAGACATAAATGCTCAAAAAAGGTGAAATCTCTCTTACATGACCTGTACATGAACAAAATGGAAGAAGTATGTTTTGCGAGTGGCTGCATTTAATAATGAAGAAGCTAAAGAGGACAACACATTCACATTTTGTCTCCTGAGAAACAGAACAATTAGACTAACCTTTCTCTGAACATGTTGCATTAATGGCATCAGATAACCACGCATGTACACATATATGATTTTTGCCATATCTCTTTAGAGGAGAACAATTTAAGTTTGCTTTTATATAAGCAAAATACAGTCTCTTCAATGTAAAATTATTATATTCAGTGAATTCTCGATGGATAAAATCAGGTCCTGTGTTTTTGGAAGTAAAATGGGTTGCAAACTGCTCATTTACCCTGGTTTTTAAGGGATGATGTCCAGTCATTTTATAAAAAGCAACTTTTTTTTTTGCAGTCATCATTCAGAACATACATATTTAATCACTATTTGCTATAACTGTCCAATCAAAATCAAGCATTCCAGATAACCAGGTAATAAAACGTTGTTAACGTTCGCACAAACACACTTGAAAATAGTGTTTGCCGTATTAGTCTTATCACTTTGGTTTAGGGAAGTGTCTTCCTTGAGTGCTGTGTTAGACTCCGGCTCCAGATTTTTTTCTCATTAAACACTAAATGTCTCATCCTGACATCTTAATACAGTGGAGAAGGGACGACGAGGACTAATCATTTCTCTCTTCCTCCTCCAACCTCACCAGCATGCTGCTGATTTATAATTAATGCAAATGAAAGCTGTAAGCCATGCTTCTCCACATTAGGAGTAAAGGCCTGTGTCGAGCTTAATGGCCAGTGGAACGTCGGACCGACCGGGATCATTTGTCTCGCCGTAATATCTTTAAGTGTATCTGTTTGTTATTGTACGATAAATGTGGCCAGCGGGACATTAGGTGAGCGCTGACGGTCAACGGTGTCTTTTGTTGGCCCATCAAACATTTTACAGCTTCATTATTATGGCTGTAAGAGCAGTACAATTATTCAATTTTTTAAATGCCAAATTATAACATTAAAAAAACATGGCATGATGGGATATTCTTGCCTAAATCAACACTTTTTGTAGACCAAAGCTTGATCATTTGTGTAAATATAAGTATGTTTCAGTTTGTTATTGAACCATAAATAAACATTACCCATTTTGTTGGTCTCAAATAGACCAATTTCTTAACATTGTAGCTTTATTATTATTGACTATGATGGCAGAGAAATGACAGGAATCAAAGATTTCACACAGTAAAACTATGATGACAAAATAGATGTTAACATTATAGATTCATTTAATGGCTGTAATGCCTGTTAAATGATAAAAAAAAAACGAATGAAATTGATGACAAAATAACAAAATGGCTGATATACCAATGAGAGCAAGGCATGGTGGGATATTCCCACCCAAAATGCCATAGTTTGAAGACTTAATCTTTGCCATTTGTTGCTGCATTATTTCCTCAAGTGCATATCAGTTTTTTACTGTACGATAAATACAGCGGAGATCAAAAATATGTGAAAGAACTTTAGTAATAACCAGCGACTGGATCAAAATGGTGCTATAAAAGACGTTGTTGACTATGACTAGATGTTTATGAATTCCATCAAATTATTAAAATCATATAAAACTGTTAAATTAGCCAAACGAAAAAGAACTATATTAAAGGCCGATGGTGCTGTATCTACCCAAGATTACACCGTGTGACAAGCAGACACTATTGTGCTTGAATTAATTGCTTTAATAAAGGAGGGAGAAGTTTTTAATTCGCAGGTATTTCTTGAGGGTGTGAAATATATCACTGTGGTGGTCCGACAGAGTCGCCCCATTTCTCTCCAGCTCACGTAGCCGAGTACAGGAGACAGAAACATCCTGCCGCTTCCACATCTGAATATTAATCTATTTTGCTATAAATATTAAAGTAATCTGTACCTTTTAAAATTCTTTTCATATTCAAAGTTCCCCGTGCCATTGATGAGCGCGACCCAGGAGAGAGCAGCCAGACACGGCCTAATACAGAGACTAGTTGATAAGGATTCTCTCTCTCTCTCTCTCTCTCTCTCTCTCCAGTCCGTCGGGATTTCCTGATGCATCCGACGTGTCAGAAATAATTAGGTTTTGTCAGATTTATCATGGTAGCACAAACCTCTCTCCCTGCCAAGTGCCCGAGATCATGTTAAGCCTTGTTTGTGTATGACAGAGTTATTATTCTTGTTAGTAACCTAACTTCCACCCTCTCTTCGGCATCTCGCCGCTCCTCGCCAAGCCGCTTCGTGTCTTTTTGGTTTTTTTTTACCCTCCTCCCTACACTTATTGACAGTCGGTAAAGATATTCATCCATTTGGAGTTAAAAACATGGATCATGGTGTCCGAGGCAACTGGCAGTCTGAAGTTGATTAATGGTGGAGTCTAGCTGCAGGTTGTCTCCTCACTCGAGAAGTGCCACCACGGCCCCTGCATATTAACGAAGGCCTGCACTTTCTATTAACAAGATAAAAAAAAAAAAAAAAAGCTCCACTCTATCCCACCCACCCAACAAACCCCCCTTGCTCCAGGGGCGAGAGGATGAGAAATTCTCCATTATTTATAATGGGGCTGCTGCTACTTCTTTTTTCCCTTTTAAATAGCAGGTGCCATCAGTAAACTTCTCAGCGGCGAGCATATTTTACTGTCAACGCTTCCGCGTTTCCACACGCGCTTCATTAATCGGGGGTTTAATTGCTGTTAACGCTTTTTTTGCAACTTTGAAAACACAGACATCTTGAGTTAAGTTTGTCTCCAATGCCATGTTGAATGCGGGCCTACTTTTTTGTGTTGGTGATGAGTTTACACGTTTATTTCATTGCAGTTTTGTAATTAGAGTTGCTTTTCTGTTGGCAATGCTTTAAGAGAGCTTACTTTGACAGCTTCCTGGAATACTTGAGTGTGATTGGTCAGTCACTGTTTTGAAGAACCAATTTTCTATGTAGCTGTGCAAGTTGTTTCTTTCCTTCCCGTGTAACTAAGTCATTCGAACTGTAATCATACACTCTAAAAAATGCTGGGTTGTTTTAACCCAATTTTGGGTCAAATATGGACAAACCCAGCCATTGGGTTACAATTTTTTAATTACATTTTTAACCCAATGTTTGAGTTTGTTCATATCTGACCCAAAATTGGCTTAAAACAACCCACATTTTTTAGAGTGTATGTAATGTACATTTCTTTATCGATGTAGTAAGTAATTGTGTGCAGTTAGATGATCATTATCGCAAAATAAATCTCTTCAATGGACATTATTATTATTATATGGACTACTGTTCTAAAGTTTGGGATCTGTAAGAACGTTTAGTGACTAAAGACTTTTATGTTACATATTCTTTTGATCTGACGATTCATCAAAAGCACTAAATCAGGATATTTTATAATGATTTGTGAATAATCATGTTACACTAAAGACTGAAGTAATGACAGCATCACAGGAATAAATGACTTTTTAAAATATTGTAATAATAGTATTACTGTTTTTACTGTAGTTTTGTTAAAATAAGCCCTTCTTTCTCTAAATTTTGATCATCTGTCTTTCACGCAGGCATCCAATACACGTCAAGGAGGAGCCACTGAACATGGACGACGAGGACTGTCCGATGTCATTGGTGACCACAGCCAATCACAGTCCTGAGCTGGATGATGACCGGGAGCTTGAGGAGGGCAACCTATCGGAGGACCTGGAATGACTATTTTGCCCCACCCCTCTGCAGTGGTTCTGCCCCTTTCAGGCCCCGCCCCTCAACTAACACACAACCACCGCAAAAGCAAAAAGACTGGACGCAGCAGGCGGGAGTATTTATTTAGCATGCATCTGGAGACTGGCCCGAAGAAAATCTATACCGCAGATCTTTAGGGACCACAGATGGACAGACATGAGACGTCTGCTTTTTAAAAACAAACATAAAAGGACAAGACTTCGTTCGAAATCAGCTTGGCCACCTCACACAACAAACACGAGGCTCATGGACCGAAAAAGATAGAAGCGAAACGGGAGCGAGTCCGTTCTGTAGAAAGCCAACGGCCACATATACTGCCAAAAAAAAAAAAAAGAAGTTTTAAGTTTGTGAATATCCAAGCCACAGTAGTCGTCGGTGTTAGATGCAATTGCTGGTTCAATTCAAGTTGTTGCTCTGTTATTTTTTGCACATGAGTAGTATCAAAATTTAGTGTCACTGCCTGTATGTCGACAAAATGTAAAAAAAAAAAAAAAGAAAGAAAAAAATTGTTGTTTTTTTGTTTTTTCCATTGTTGTCATTTTGTTCCTCCTGCTTATGTTCGTTCCAAGTCATGTTTGCGGCACCACCAACTGTAAATGGCATTTCCTAAAGTCACGTCAACAACACAACCGTGGTATCAAGACTGTTGCGGCCGTCCAAAAACAAGTACACAAAAAAAAAGTAGGTCTCGAGTCTCACTAGCTCGTGAAATGTGATTCAGGTGCAACTCGACCGCTGAGAGGAAAAACACGCAAGAAAAAGATGCGTTTCTGCATATTCTTCTAGTCTCTTTACCTCCTTGTTCTAAAGCTTTGTCTACCTGCAAAGAGTCACAGGCAACAGCTAGAAACCAAAGCCAACACTATCAACGGCCAATAGCTTAGACAGAAGCCGCCAGACTCTTTGGTCAGTCTTCTGTGACTTTAACTAGTACAAAGAGAATTTGTTTTTTTGTTTTTTTTTTCACTAACTACCTTCGAATAACCTCTGGGATTGTCTCCTTCAGCCCTGTACAAAGATAAAGATGTAATTTGATCGCTCTGGCCTCGTCATGAGGTCCAGAGAGCAGCTATAAATGGATCATGACCAAAATAACTATGTGGAAGTGCAGAAAAAAAAAAAAAGTTTTGTTTTTTTTTATTTACTTTTGTATTCCTCTTATTATTATTTGCGTAAGCCATCTTGTCATCGTTTTTACTAGTGAAATGTACTGTTCATTGTGACTGTCCAGCGTGTCATGTCTTATATCCGTCAGTTTCTTCAGAGCCGAAACCGAAAATATAATAACCAAACTTTAAGATATCTAGTGAAGCCAAAAAAGTCATGATTTCAAGTCGATGTGAAATGATGTGGCTTGGTTATATTGTAAAAGCAAATAACAGAGCCATGACAGGAAGTTGCTCCATTGATTCAGACTCATTGTATAATTCATGGCTATACAGACACACCTAGTGTTGGATCATGGGAAGGTTTGTGGTTAGACCGTAAGTAGCAACCAGTTATTTGAGGTGAAACGAGAAGCGATCGCCCGCTTTCATTCGGACGTTGCTGATGTCATCGAGGAAAAGCGGTTGTTGCTTTAAAGTTAAACGTTTTTTTGTTTTTTTTTGTCAGTCAAACCAAAGTTATACAGATTTCTGCCTCTTCTTATACAGCAGATGGAGATGAAAATAACGCAAAGCCTGTTTCCTTTTCCTCTTTCACTTTCTTTGATTGTTCTCTAATGCAGAAAACCCATTTGAAACGGATAACTGCTTTGTGTTGTAACCGATAATGTCAAAGTTTGTATCTGTCTGTGTGAAACATACTGTGCAGTTGTTCCCGTTTCGTGCCAAACCGAGGGGTTGGCTGCTAGTTTAGCACACACACGAATAATAAGACACCCGAGCTGGATCCAGGAACAAAGCGTATCCCTTATCCTTTGCTGAAGTCAGCAAATTGACTTGAAGATGACATTCATAATAATTTTATGGCACCAAATAAAAGGACGCAGCGTCTTTGAATAAGAAGATACAAAAAGGGTTCTCCCACTTATCCAAAAAAGGCTTCTACCTCTTCACAACATGAAAAAATGGCAGATTGCACGAGTCGTTAGAACGCCACCGACACATTTTTCCGCCTAATTCACGCAGGACTTCGCCAAAAGCGCCAGTTTACATTCCCAAAGGCAGATGTGGAAGGTTTGCATTGAACTAGTTTGTCCTCAGACATTTGTAGAATGAATATGTAAAAATACATGTAAGGGGATATTGTGTTATTAAAAAAAATGCATGTCTAAATTCATTTGGTGGACTGGAAATAAGAATTAATTAACACATATAATAAAGCGTCAGGATGATGATGATGATGATGATGATGTTGATGGACTAAGTGTGCATACCTCAGCTATTCTGTTCCCGGGGGGAGATAATGATGATGATGATGGACAAAAGAAACTCTCAGCCACAGAATGCATATTTCCTGTAGAGTTTGCATGGGTTTTGTAAAAACATTTTAAAAAAATGTCTAAAATAGTTGCTTGCACATAATACCAGAAGAACCTCCAGATCGGCAATCTCCTCCAATAGATTTTAGGATTGTCTGGGTTTTTTTCTGGGATGATTTTGTCTGTATTTTGATAATTGTGCATATTATGTAAAAAGATACAAAAAAAAAAAATGTTGGTGGACCCATGAATTTACCAAACATTTTTTTCTAAGCTAAAAAGCTAAGTGTTTTTTTTTTTTCTTTCCTGAATTTCATGAATTTTTACTGTTCTCTCATTGCTTGCTAAGAATAGCAAACCTGCTTTTCCTGCATCTGCGTTGCGTAGCTGTAAGGCTTTTCCTAATGTGTGTATTTATTGCTTGTACCTCTGTGCATACGTTCTGAAGCATTACGTCTGGCAGTTGAGTCATGTATCCTTTCTAATAACTATCATTCTCCGGGAATATGATCCCCTATGTATACAGTAAATTGGAACTGTAGCAAAAAACAAAACACAAAAAAAAAAAACATGTTTATGTAATTGGTTGTTTTTGCCTTTCAGTTTGGTTTGGTTTCCTTCCAATTGAGACTCTTTTTTGATACTTTTCATTACCGTGTACTGTGTCCATATGTTACGGATTTCTGCGAGAGTAGAGGTCACGATTGAGAACTGTAACGGCCGTTATTATTTTCTGTATTCATGGCTTTTCACTGCTGAATAAAATAAAGGACCAAAACTAGGATTTGAAAAGCAACTGTCTACCTCCAACATCAGGGACTTCTTACTTTTTTTTGTACACATATATCTTTTATTCTACAAAGACGCAGCCTGGAAATGGGGCTGCGTTATGCTTTTATGCAGCGTGGAGGAATTTGTCGCAGGAACTCAAAAACATCTCTGGAAAAAAAAAAGAGAGGCGGGGAAAAAGAAAAACAATAAAACTTTAATAGCGGACTTACACGGCTTTGTTCCGGCTCCTGGCACCTCGAGTGTTGTTTAGATGAGGTGCTCGTAATGGACTCGGCCCATGTTCTCCGTCCCCCGCTTTGATCTGAGGAGCGAGAGAGAGAGAGAGAGAGAGAGAGAGAGCGTGGCTCGGCACTGCTTACTTGAAAACGCTATTTGGGATACAGTCGGGCCTCTGTGGGGGAAACGGCACTTCCATGCATTTTTGCTGCTTTCTTTCGATCTGAGGCCCCTAGTTGAGTTGCAGTGTGTGTTGTGTTTACATGAACACTGATGTAGAGGATCGGTTTATTTGCAGGAAATAGTGCAGCTGGGCCTTCTGCGTAGCCTGCCTTGCATGTTGTCGATTCGCTGAGATTCTTTGTTATTAAAGAAGTAGTTCACTTTTAAAAAATAACTCTGCTGATAATTTGCTCACCCTCATGTCATCCAACGTCTTTCTTTCTTCAGTCGAAAAGAAATTAAGTTTTTTGATGAAAACATTCCAGGATTTTCTCCATATAATGGACTTCAATGGGAACCAAACGGTTCAAGGTCCAAATGAGAGTTTCAGTGCAGCTTCAAAGGGCTTTAAACAACACCAGATGATGAATAAGGATCTTATCTAGGACCATTCGAGTTATGACTCGAAAAAAGCTTTGTTCGTTTTGATGAAAAAGTTCAAACAGGAGAGTCACGAACGCTCATCACAGAACAGAGCACGGCGAGCATTTGTGCTTATAAAACTTAAACTTTTTTATTTATTTTTTAAATGAGCGATCATTTCGCTAGATAAGACCCTTATTCATCACCTGGTGTCATTTAAAGATCTTTGAATCTGCACTGAAACTCTCATTTGGACCTTGAACCGTATGGTTCCCATTGAAGTCCATTATATGGAGAAAAATCCTGGGATGTTTTCATCAAAAACCTTAATTTCTTTTAGACTGAAGAAAGAAAGACATGGACATCTTGGATGACATGGGGGCGAGTAAATGATCAGCAAAAGACTAAAAAACTACTCCTTTAAGCTTTAAAACCGATAAAAACGCTATTTGTTGAGCCAATCTTGCTGTTTCAAGACACTGATACATATAGATTGATGTTTAAACTTTCAATAGTCTCTGCATTTTCTGTAAAAAAAAAAAAAAAATGCACACTGTACCTTTAAGAAAAGCATGCTTGTGGGTGTTAAATCTTATTTCTTATCCTGGTTTTACTCTGATCAAACAAATGAACCCTTTTCCCAAGGAAACGGCACGTTTTATTTGAGGTCAGCACAGACAGATGCGATTTAACCTCATTTCTGTCTTTGAAATTGAAATGCGTTGACCACAAATTTGCAAGAAATTGTAAAATTCAAAAAACAAACTTGTCAAAGTCACGGGCAGGTGCTCAGGCGGGTCGTGATTGAACCCAAATCCCTGGTGTGACCCCATCGCTCATTTTCATGCATAGCAGTTTTAGCCTGACTGATGAGCCGCTCCGTTACTGGGTTTTTGCTCTTTATCACAAAGACACCTGAGAATGGTCAGAAGAATTTGGACTTTTTTTAGGCTTGGCCCAATCAAAACGCCCCCCTGCGCCCAGTTTGCTGCAGTTACTCCGGCTGTTTCCACGTTGCAGAACCTCTCAGGACGCTACTGTGCTTTTTATGCACTTGGAAGTGTTTGTGAATTCAAGTGAGGGATGGCACACAACGTGCAACAAGGGCCGCTGTGTACCACACAACATCAGAGCGAGCGCAGACATTAAAGTGTGAGCCACATTACAGACCCCTCTTTCAAAGGCCATGAAATAATAATGGCTTGTGGTTAGAGGTATCCGTGAGTCACATTCGCTGCTTTTCATAAAGCGGAGTTATTTACAGAGCAATGAATAAAAGAATGGGATAGTGGTGCAAGCCTTTTCCGCATGAACTGAAAGAGCCGAAATAGGTCAGCATAAATTTTGTTCTTTAGGTAGAGGTCTTGTCATAAACATCCACTGATGAAATATAGTCTACTAATGACAATTGAGGGGGTGTATATAAGATGTATTAATCGGTTTTTCTATTGCCAATGCGTGAACGGCTTACCAAAACTTAAAAAACGAGACCTTCCCTTCTTATAGGTTGTCTATGAAAGCCTGCAGACTGATTTTTATGTGAAGAACTCTTGGCGTTTTAGCCGGGAAAATCAAAAGGCTGCGACGTTTACGCGCACTCAGAAAGAGCCTCTCTTCCGCTATGATCATATGATTTTTTTAACTAGACCTGGGGCCCGTTTCAGAAAGAAGGGTGAGTGAAAACTCTGAGTAGGTTAACCCTGAAATGAGAGAAACTCTGGGTTTTCAACGCATTCTCACCCCAAGGCGTCACCTTTGACCATGCTTCAATATTTGACGTTTTAGGCGCCCTTTAGCGTCACTTACATGACGCGATCCTACGGCGTCATCTAACTGACGCTAAAGGGCGCCTAAAGCGTCAGATATTGAAGCATGTCCAAATGCTTCCCAAGGCGTCAGTTAAGTGATGCCTTGGGGGTGAGAATGGGCTGGGGTTTTCCATGTCAGAATGGGAGGTATATGTCCAACCTGAGAAAGCAGAGCAAGTCAAGCCTGTTTCTGAAAGAGAGGTAACTTATACTCAGAGTCAGTTGCCATGGTAACTAACTCTGTGAACCTAACCTGGAGCAGGTCAGGAGCAGTTTTTCTTCAGTAAACCTAGAGTTTATTTCGGTCTCCCCCTTTTTTTAAAGTGGAAGCGGTGTTTAAACACCTCATTCATTCTTTTGGTACATTTATTCATTGCTGTTTTTACTTCTGTTTTTATTTTCTATTTTTTTAATAAGATGAAGTCTAAATAACTGGCAACTGAAAAGACAGTAGATTAGAATTACATGATGTAATTCTAAACAAATTCAAAGTGTGGCATTTACAGAAAAACTGTTTCTTCATCCCCATCGTCCTGTGAAGATTCAAATTTGATTGAGTAATCGTTATAATAGTATTTGTCATAGTTTTTGGTATTGAGTACTTACAACTGCCTGGGGTTCTGTTGGGACAGGAGGCTCTAAAAGACCCATATTCCCATTAAAATCTGTTGGGACCAACAAAAAAACCAACCCAAAGTTAAATAAATGGAAATATCAAAAATAGCCTATGTAAAAAAAAAAATAACACACATGTAGACCTCTTTAATTTTATGAATCCTTGAATCCTGGGGAGTGAATAGCTCTGATGAAGTCCTTCCAGGAATTCCCTCAGAAATTGGCCTTCCAGCATTCAGGCTCAGTGCCATCTGCATCTCCATCTCTTCTGCATTTCCATCTCCATCCCATTCCAAGTTCGGTAGGAGCACGTTCATATAGAATTAACACGAGTGGACAACACTCAGCAATCAATGATAAGAGGGTATAGACTCAGCAGTCTTACCTCGATCCATTGACATTTTGCAGTATTCCTCCTCCACCCCTTCTCCACACTCCCAATTCTAAAAATCACAGGGGAGTAGTTACTCTGGGTTCGGGCTGAATTTTTTAGTTTATTCACAATACCTCGTCAAGCTTTACAATATATAGTTTTAAGGTACAGACTAGATTGGGTACAGTGAAATGGGTCTCCCAAACAAGCACCAGAAGCTTATAAGTAGGAGCCCATAGTTCTTGACAAGTACTGACAAGATACAAAGAGACACAATAAAAAAAACACATTATATCACAATAAAAAATTCCGAGCTCGGAGCCCTCCCTCCGGACAGCACGCACGTATTGTGAACTCGTGAAAAGTAAATTAAAAAAAAATATAAACTTTAGCATTGACTCAAGCAACTATTTTCTCCCAAGCTAAAACAGTCCTGCTGGTGAGAAATATGCAGAACTCTTTTTGTCTGGCGCTGTTGCCATGGTGACTCACGCTTAACTCAGAGTCAGTCAACTTAGAGTTGATTGAACTAACTCGTTTCAGCTGTTCTGTAATCGAAAACCCAGAGTTTACCATCTCATTCTCAGGGTAAGTCAACTCTTACCCCAACTCTCATTACCATCTCAAGGTAAGTGTTTGTGTTGTTACTGAGAGGAAAGCGGCCATAATATTGCCCCTATAATGTTTGCTGGATTTATTATAAGTCAAAATATATGAATGGTAACAGAATAAGTAAATAAATGTGTTCCTCATTCCATAAACAAGCAAAAATCATATTTACAGTGAAGAACTTAAGAATGGAAGTCTATGGGGCAAGACATTCTGCAGGGTTTAAAAGCATTCACAATTCAATGTCAGTGCAGTTTATTTGTAATTACTTATAATGATTTTAATGTACTAGCAATTTCTGAGTGCAAATTGCTTCTACGCCTAGTTTTTGTTTTTGGCCTGCTTTTTCTGTACAAAAAAAAAAAAAATCATTAGCCTACATGCTTTAAACTGTTCAGGTCTTTCCCTTTAGTATATTTCTTTAGACCGGCATGTAACTGTAAGATTTTATCATAATGTTAACAAATGTGTGATTCTTGCAGAGCTGTACTTTCAAAACAGTGTGTATTTAAACATATATCCCTGTGCAAAGCCACATTGACCTCCATTTTAAATGCATCGTATCATTTTTTGACAAACTAGAGGCCTGTTGAAATGATTGTGCATGATAGTCGACTGCATGTTATATGGCAGTATGTACACACAACAGCCTGATTTTGTTGTCGCTCAGCAAAAGGTTTCAATAATGATGTGCTATTTGAAGGGGAAAAAAACATTGGGTTTAGAGATTGAGAGGCCAAAAGTGTCCCTCTGCACTCAGGCCTGACTCTGTGTTCCTGCTCTCCT